TGCTGTAGCGCTTTCAAAGGCCTTCATTACAATGGACTGAGCTCAGAAGCCTAAGCTTAGCCTCTGCAAACTTGTGGCTATTAACAAAAGAACTTTTATATTCCTGGGCTCTTTATTTTATTTTTCAGTGGTTTTTTCACAGACTTTTGTTACAATGACACCTTTAAGATAGCCTTGTTTCCATTTATCACTATGAAGAGAAATGGCTGACTTGAGTTTTATTTTACCTTCTTGGAGTTCAAGCCATGGGGAAATTATCTTCCAGAAGTTTTAAGACATACAGTTTCTATATGTGAATTATTATTCAAATAAATTACACAAATTTGGCCTGCAGAAAAGCTGGGCAGGTTTCAGGTAAGTAAATTAAAAGCTTAGGCTTGTAACTTAGAAGGCTTTAAGGTTTCAGAAAACAGCATTTCTTATCTTGTAATTGAAAAGTTGTAACTGGTGAAAGGCATTTTATTACCCCTTAGAAGCTTCTTCCTGCTTTTACTGCTTCTGCACCAATCAAAAATGTTCTTCTTGATTTCTTGCTGATCTAAGAGGACATGTGTGCAGAGTGTGTGTGGTGGGGCTGGGAAAGAATACCAATCCTCACATTGGTTTGTCACAGTTCAGCCTTGTGGTGTATTGCCAAAGCATACAGTGCTTTGTAAACTGTGCTCTCCAAGTGCATCTTCAGCCAGCCCCACAGAAAACAATTTGGTGCTGTTTTCTGACACCCAGCCTCCAGCTGCCTGTCTGCAGAATGATAACAAAAGGGTAACTTTCAAAGAGGGGAAATACATTCCATAGGTTTTGCTGCTTCCTTAGGAGGACCACACATGTGATGTAGTAGCTCACAATTTACAGTGGATCAGGTGGAGCTGAGGTTGCAGTTCAGTGATTTGTTGCCCTCAGTAGCATGGTGGATCCCATGGGATGCTCTCTTCTGACACCTAGTAACACAGATATTTGTCATATTGCAACATGTACTGGCTTGGAAAGTTGATCTGGCACTGGAGAACACAAATGTATTGATGTTAAATTAAGATAATTTGTGTTCTGCTCTTAATATGGTTTACCATTTCTGTTGTGGGACAATAGAGGATTGTTGAAAAGGTGAGTGGGGGAGAGGACTTAACAGAAATACATTCTTTTTCATTTTTCATTCCATCAAATTTAAACTCCAGATTAAGTGGGGCCAGCTGACCTCAAGAAAAAGTTCAGTTCAAGGTAAAGATGCTGGGTTGGATAATTGCATTATACATAAAATCACAGTGTAAACAAAACAGCTGATATCTGTTATTACTGCCTGGTTTTATTATGAACTTGGAATATTAAACCACTGTAAAAAGACTGTTTGTCCTGAACTATGATATGTTTGGTTTGGAAGAATGTAAGGTGCATCTGATTTAACATAGGCAGGTCTTCAGAAAGGTTGTATCTATTTAGCTATGGTTTAGGACATTTATATACACTGTGCCAAGGCTAACATTTACCATTTTCAATTTCCTTTCCTAAAACTTCTTCAGTAAAATCTAAATTTTCTTGGAGCTTTCAACAGGAGACTGGTGCCTAGGATCTGGAATGATTGCTGCTAATAAAGAAAAAAGAAAACCTGAGCCAGATTTGAAGTTAGAAAGCTGTTTATAGCTTCTGTTTCTAACATTATTGGCATCACTTACATGAAATATTTTAATTGTAGCCCATTTGCTAAGTATTTTGTCAGTTTTTCCTGGAATGAACTTCTGCTTCACAAGTCTTCATTTTTGTTCATTTCTGGAAAGGAGGCATGCCTCTGTTAGCTGGTGTATAATGGAGATCTATTTCTTGGTGTTTCTCATGTTGCTAAGTGATCTTGTTTACTTTTTTGCCTTCATGATTTTTTAAAAAAAAATTTGTCCAAGTGGTTTTGAGTTAGTGATGGAAATCTCTAGATTTGACTCTGAGTCAGCTGTTGCATAAACTGTTTTCTACTGGCACATACCAGTAATGCTACCTGGTATTTTGATATAAAATCTGATTATTTTAATAACTTGGAATATTCCGTTATTAATTGACTGGCAGGGGAGTGAGATGAAGGGAGTTGGATTGAATTGTGTGCTGCAGGAATAATCAAGCAGTACAGCAGTTCTTGTTTTTACCAGGAGCAGGAAGAGTTCTAGTGGCAAAGCAAATTGAGCAGTCTGTGTTCAACAGGTAACCAGACACTTCTGGCTGTTTCATAACATGTGGTTTACTCTTGCCATCTGTATAAGTGCTATTTCTTGCAAATTTTGTCAGCCAGTGCTCTCTTATTCCCAGTCTGTACTGATAGTTTTGCAAAGGCATTGGAGTTCAAAGATAAAGAAGCTTGAAACTCATTTAGGGTGTATCATTAAAAAGGAGCAAGCAGGCATTTAATATAACTTTGTCTTTTGCCCTACCCTTCCCCTTTTCTCATCCTTGACTTTTGTTAAAGCAATTTTAAGTCAGATAGTGTTGTTATTTGCACATCTTCTTTCATGGTAACCAAGAAAAACACGTTTTTTACACAAGTTTACTGTTAGCAATTAGGAATGAGCCTGAGTTGTGTCAACAAAGAATTTTAATTTGGAAACATGAATCTAGTGTTTCTTGTTGGCTTTCAAGGAGAAGCTTCTCATGCAATGAAGAAGCAGTTTGTTCAACAGGGAACAAGTCTGTTAAGTTCAGTTTTTGCACGTGTATACGGCCATTTTCATCAGGGGCATGGACACATGGATATGGCAACATTTCTGTTCATTACTTCCTGTAGTTGCTTTGTCCTTTGTAGCCTGAGCTCTGTTGTAATTGCTAAAATGGTATCTTGGTTTCTCTTGTCTTTATGATCCTGTGAAATAGTTTGCTTGCAGCTAAAATTACTTACTGTGAAATGCCAGAAAGTTAAAGCTGTGAACATTTTTGAGAAGTTGGGCTGCCTGAAGACAGTGTCTTCTACTAAATCTAAATCATTCTTTTAGGCAAGTCTTATTTCTTGTCTAACTTTTGGGTTGTTTTTCAATATGTTTGATGTCTGAACCTGAGAAATGTGTATTCTATGCTCACCTACTTGTGATAATCCAACAAACTCTGTAGCTTAAAGCAGCAGCTTGGAAACCTTGAAGTTATTCTTTATCTCAACTGCTTCCTTCATTCTGTGTTTTGCAATTCCACGTTGAGGACACTTGGTAGGTGTGTTTAAGATTAGTTAACCATTTGGTACTTCAGTGCATATTAAACATGAGAACAAGGCTACATTACACTTTCAGAACATAGTGTTGTTTTGACAAATTTTTAACAGAAAAAGAAAGGAAGTGATTACTTAAATAATTGAAAAGTGAATAAAAGCAGAGATGAGGAGAAGCAAGATTATGAAGGAGGGAGAGATTAGGAACTAAACAGAGGAAGGGAAAATAAGAATGAGGAAAAATGAATAAGAAAATGCCATCAAGTCAGCAGAAGTGAATAATCAGATAAGTTATGTATCTAGCTGAGGGTTTTATTTGGCACCTGTTGTCACAGTACCTGAACAGGTTTTATATATAATTAATAGTGATAGTGAAGTAAATTGTGTCTGGATGTTTGTGACACTTCTTGCCTGAATTGAGGATGGCTTTTGGGGACATAGAGAAGGGTAAAGGTTTAGAATGAGAAGGGGATTCCCATGCTTTGTAACTCCTGTAGATGCTGTGGAAAGATGCTCTGGGAAGAGCTTTGCACCACTTGAGGTTCTGGATTTAGGTGTTTATTTTATTCTGAGGTTGTTAGTTTGTTTTGTTTGTGTGGTTTTTTAAAACTTTGTTTTGTTTGATTTCTTTCCCACGTGGAGGGCTCTTTCATAGGTAGCTATTTTACACTGACAGGACTCTGTTAGTCTTTCTTGGTGACTTTCTTTTACATTGACATTGCTGCAGAAACAGTGTGTTTATTAGAGATATTCAATGTTTGCTCTTCAATCTTAACTCTGCAAGGAAACATTATCTTATTTGGGAACATCTGTTGTAGTATAAAGGCAACAAACAAAAGGGAGGAGATATAGAGGAGGGAAAAGGATAAAGAAAAATGTTTTCAACTTCTGCAAAATGTTATAAATTATGGAACAGATTCAGGAATCGTTTGTAATCTCAAATACTTCAGGCAAAGTTTTTAAAACTGTTTTGAAAATTATTTGTGGTGTAGAATGGACTATGTGCATTGTGTTAATGAACAAGAACAGTCCTGGCAAAGGAATATGTTAGCTATGGGCTGGCAGCTTGTTTTTGAAAATTAAGCAGCTTGACTTGGAAAGTAAGACTACCTCAAATGCATATTTTGACAGCATTTCCCTGTGTGGTTTGCAGTGGTCCAGGATCTGTCCTAGTTCCTGGGGCAGTGTCTAGCCCTGAGGGACTGCTGGTCACAAACACAGTCTTTGTGCTCTACTAGGAACAAATAGGAAGCTTAAATATAATTTTAATCTGTTAATAGCTATCTAATATGCAAGTCATAGTTTCTACATTGTGTTTTCTGAACGCCATCTGTCTCTAATCTGCTATTATCTGCCATATTGACCTATGAGTGAAGCAAAAAGGAAATTATTTTGTGATTAGGATTGCTCTTAGGGTTCTTATTTAATTTTATGAGCCATAAGGAGAGTTGTGTACTAGTATCTATGGTATCAAGACTAGAACACATTCTAGTAAGTTTGTAAAGCTGGTATGGATGACTCTGGAGAATAAGTTACGATTGTTTATGAGGAGAAAAGCTAAAATGCTTTGGTTGACACTGGTGCCTGGAAGAGGAGACACATAAACTAATGAATAGAGCAGCAATGTCCCATCAGCACAATGTGGCTGAAAATTTCAAAGTACACAGGTGGTGGTGGTTGTTTTTTCTTTTGGTTCTAAAAAATGTGGTTTTCCTCCTTTCTTCCAGTTGAAATGCATTAAATAGAAAGTTTTTATTTGAGGCAGTATTACAGAGCTGTTGATAGATGACCTTGAGTGCAATATTGCCTAATGTTCTCTTTCTTTTTACAGAAAGACCCAGATTACCTGAAGCTCTGGTTGGATAGTTTTGTGTCTAGCTATGAACAGTTTCTGGATGTGGACTTTGAGAAGCTGCCAACGAGGTATGTAGAATTACAGACCTGTTTATCTTTCCCTGATACGTGAAACAGACCTGGCTGAGAGCCCAGTCCTCTTTAATGGCTGTGCTGCCTTTAAACAAAAGTAAGTTTTTAAGTTGTGAAGTGGCAGTCCCATTCATGTGAAGGTCAAGTTGGCTTAGGAGTGATGAAATTAGGCAAATACTGGTATTTGCATTGTATTAGGAAATTGGCCATTAGTACTTCTTGTTCTTGTTCATAGAAATATAATTGTTATTCCTTGTGTTCCTTATAATTCTGAATAGTGTTTACTATCTGCATCAGCAGTGACAGAAGAGAAGCAAGATATAGATAAAGAATTTGTAATTTTATTTCAGGGTTTGCTTTAAGATTAAGGATGAATGAAATTCTCAATGAAAGATTTGGATATCTTAGCTGAAAGCATTTAAAAATTAAAATATGCACCAATTATAGACTTGAGGGTGAATTCTTTGCATCCATGAAGACTTCAGGGTAAGAGTATTGCTGACTTCCCTCATGTTGCTGACCAAAAGCTCCCACTTATAATCATGAGTCTATTGGAGCCTAATTTCAGAGTTTCATATTTAGTATTTTAAATTTGTATGCTGTGTTATCCTGATTGTGTTTTCATGTCTAACTTTGAAAATGAGGAGTAAAAACTTAAGCATTGGATGTTTTCTCTTGCTTCTGAGGTGCTTGGAGGAACTAGGGATTTTAAGAAAAACCAAATGTAAAGGATTCAGACTTCATGAGAGCTGCTGTCAGTATTATAGCTGATACCACCAGTGGTGTTTGAAAGCACAGAATGGTACTCCTTGCATGTGGCTGCATTCCAAGCCCTGTTGAAATCAATGGAAATTCTTTAATGGGCTTTGGATCAGATCCTGTTTGAAGTGCAAGTGATAGCCTCAACTCTTACAAGGAAAGGCAGAACGCTGCAACTGCATCTCAGCAGATAAAACCTGGACTTCCCAGCTCTTTGTATTAAAAATTTCCTCATAATGCCTGTATGAGAACAAAATATATAGTGAATTACTAGTAAGCAAGACCTTCAAGTTAATTCTGTGCTCTTTCTAAAAATTTGTTTCTTTCTGGTATCAAAAATGCATCTTACTATGTTTAGTTAAGGAGAAAAGTTTGTCCTTTGACACAGGTTATCTTCAACATACTATTTCGTATTGAAATATGAACACTGGAAGATAAAAATCTGTTGGTACTTTGATTTGAAGTTTTTAAAATTTATTTGTACTCTGAGTTTGAGTGGTTTTTAGTGTATGTGTTCATGGTTTTCATGTTGAGTTTTTTTTCACCTACATAAAGCTTAGTTATGCAGAAAAGTAGCAGCATCTTCATTGTTATAAATGGTGACTTTAGTGAGTGTAAAAATAATGTGTGTTTTTCTGAGCTTAATGACAGGATTAGTGACTTAGTCTGTAGGAATAGAACCATGTGGATTTAGGCTCATTTGTGTAACAGATGCAAAGAAAAATCATCAAAACAACATAGGGATGAAGGCAGATCCTTCCTGTGCTTTTATGTCTGCAATAAGCAAACCCATGGTGGTCAGATACTAGAATTAATGAAGAATTGCAGTTTCTGCCCATACATGCATTTGTGATATAATCAGGCATATGAAAGTGGCATCTTTTTGGGCTGTGTCAATTTGTATTGCAGAACTTTACATTGCAAAAACATTATTGCTGGCCCCATGAAAAAAAAAAGTAGGTCAGTGTGGAACTGCCAAATGCTGATTTCCAGTGACTCCAGGGGCCACAGGACCCTGTGGACTCACTTTATTTTTTTTTGTTTAACTCGATTCCTTACTAGACAGCTAATTCTGTCTGTTGGTCTTTAAAAAAGTGTGATGCTAGCTAAAATGAGAAACTGCACCAATAGTTTTTTCTTTTTTTCCATCTATGAATCTTGTTGTGTTTTACAGCTGTATGCCTGCAAGACCTTGTGTAGTGAAGGGCTAATGCCAGGAAATAATGAGAAAATGTTTAGGGAGAAGGCTTGTACAGATTTCTGGACACAACTAACTTTTTGGACTACAGGCATGACATTTTGTGTCAATATAAACCATATGTGGGGCTTTTTAGTATCCAAGAAAATACCTGTTAAGAAATGTAAAGATTCTATTACAGGTTTGGTTTTGGGTTTTTTCCTTCCTGAAAGGAGGACTCAATTGGCGCTGTCACTTGCTGATTTAACTCATAAGGGTTTTTTTCCTATAAATTAGAATGTCTAATTTCCTGAAGTCTGCTTTGGAAATGTGGAAGATGCTAAGCAGTGCAGAATTAGGAAACCTCTAAATATAGTGTGTGAGTGTACCCACTATGATTTGACTGTATAAGTAGAGCTTATACAGTTATGCAGCTTATAGGCTTATACAGCTTCAGTTCTACCCCTCTCTTAGTGCCTCTACTCTGTGTGAAATGGCTCATTGATGATGTTATAATTGATTTTGCTGAAAAGGTGAATATAGCTATGCTAATGGTTTGATCATTGAGCACAGAAGGCCATCACACCTGTCTGTTATTTCCCTCAAAACGTGTATCTATGCCTTATGTATTTACCATAAAAAGGATAAAATCTCTACCAGCTGGTGTGAGGATTTTTTCTCCTCACTGGAGAGGAATTGTCATTTGATTCAATACTTTTAAAAATAACAAAGGCCTCCAGAGTGTTTGTCATACTTTTTTTCTGCCTTTGGTTAGCATGATCTTGAGCAAAGGAGCTTAAAGGAAGCTCATGCAAAGTACCATAGAAACCGTATTTTATTACTTGCTGACTTCAAACCCACATAAAAATGATGCAGAAATCATGGTAGGAATGCTGATTACATGGTTTGTGTGATTGCATGGTGATTGTTGCAAAGTAAAGCCTGGTTTGCCACAGCAGTTTTTACTACTGGGGGAGGAGAGTTCCCAGTGTGTGTTTGAGCTGAATAGGTGACTGATGTGGAGGTGGTTCAGTTCCCTTCCTGACACACCTGACAGAGTTTGTATGGCTGCATGACCATGTTAACATTATGGAGGAAATGATAAATAAAAGGATCCCAAATAAGGCAAGTTCTTTCTCATATTTTTGAGGTATGGTACCAGCAGTCAAGTAACAATGTCAGATTAATATAAATTTTTTTCCATCCTTTTAGAGTACTTGCTTTAAACAATGACTCTGGTCGGGAAAAATTGGTACTACATGTCAACAAATTTAAATCCTTGTTTAAATCTAAGGTTTTTTGGTGGTATAATAGTAATTTGGTCTGGGGTGAAAACAAGCTTGATTGGTTATAAATATTTACATTTATTTATATACTCTATAGTGTATTAATTTTGTGTAATGCCAGTTAGGATTTCTCATGCTGGTCTCACACATCTCTCCCAAATTCTCATGGGTTGTGCAACACAGGCAGCTACTGCAAAGAAAACATTCTTTGGGATGTGAGGCATGAAGGGTATGTTGTTTGCTTTCTTGTAGAGCATTTCATGGTCTTACTGAAAAAAACTTGTTGGCCATTTTAGGGAATTAACTTCTGGAAATATGATTTCAGCTGTCAAAAATTACGAATTTCCTAATACTGAGAGGGAATTATCAGAATCTGAAATACAGAATCTGAATTATCAGATTGTGAGAAACCATGTTTGTGGTTCTGGAGAGTGTGGATCTGCCAGCATCTTGAGGGGTGAAGTTGCTATCACAGAAATTAAAATTTCTTTCTTGGCATTTGTGTTGGAAAAAAACCCCAGTTGCTCTCAGTTTTGTGGTTAGTGTTGCTATCAGTTTAGAGCCTCGCCTATAAAATTTGTGTTACAGTGCTCTGAATCCCTTGAGATTCTGAATTCCACAATCTGAAAAGCAAATTGCACAACTGTGTGAGGGGGCAAGGGAATGAAGTAGGTACTTGTATAAATGTAGGTAACATTTGTTTTCTAGGATATGGGAGCCTTCTGTCACTTACACCTGTCTAGGTGTTTTACTAAACTGTGCCTCTGATTTTCCCTCCTATGAAGGCTTCCTTTTCAACATTGGAAGCTAAACAATGGGTTGTTCCCCATTTTCCTCAGATAATAGAGTCATATTGTATAGGGTCAGTCACTGCATTTCTACACATCTTTTTTGTGGTTTTTCTCACATAGATACAATGTACACAGCAGCATATTAGTGAGGGTTTGTGCTTGCTGAATTTTTTTGTTGTAGCTTTCCTCTGGCTTTGGCCGTGTTGGAGGTTTCTGTAAGCTCTTGCCTCTGTCTTCCTTTGCCTATGTAGAGTTCATAGAGGATGTGTCAGGCTAAATAGCTGCTGCCAAAGGCTAACTGTTTTTAGCATGTGCAACAGTGGATAAACAATTCTCATCCCAAAAAATGTTCTTACAGTTCTGTAGTTTTCTATACTGTTATTGAAATGGGTTTCCTTATGGTTGTTCATGGGCATTTTCTTCTTTGGTTTTGGATCACTGGAAAAAAAAATTAAACCACAAATAATCCTATTCTTTTCTTCATGTCTTGGTTCTCGCTGGTGTGTTTCCAAAAATGTTTTAGTTTGCAGAAAACAATAGGCAAAAGATAATTTTGTATGGCTTTTTGAAATTTATGTAAGAACGACATGAGGTTCACTGTGGATGAATACCAACTGGGCTTCAATAACTATGCAATAATTGGCATCTCATTTATTTGGACACTTTTAATCTTCAGTAGAAAGTAGAAAATGTTCTTCCAAATATGTTTTGTTCTCATGTTTCATTCCTCTGTGACTGTCGCTGGGGATTGCCCAGATCACCTTTTTACCTGATGAAGATCATGCAATTTCTTTGTGGCAATTAAAGCAGCTCATTGAATGGAGGAGGATTTAGGAGCCACTTGTTGAATTTTAACACTTTTTTTTTTTAATGTAGTTCATTTCTGGAGAAAAGAAAGCTCAGACTGGTGTATTGCCACCAGACATTGCCTTGTGGCTCATTAGGAAGTGTTTGTGATGTGTCAGCTGGGTGACCTTTCCCACAGAACTTCACTGGAACACCACATGAGAGCATGGGAATCGATTGGCAGCTTGGCATGTATGATTAACAATTTTGTGTCTGGCTTTTTTCATTAGGGTGGATGACATTCCACCAGGAATATCGCTGCTTCCTGATAACATTCTTCAGGTCCTCAGGCTCCAGTTGCTACAGTGTGTCCAGAAAATGTCAGATGGCCTGGAAGAGCAGCAGCAGACTCTGTCACTTTTACTTGTGAAATTCTTTATCATCCTTTGCAGGTATTTGCTCTAATTGGTACCTCAGCAAGGTTGTTGTTTTGGTTAAGAAATCTTGATGCAGCCTATAAATACAGATTTTAATGACACATAATAAGTGATTTGATACCTTCCAGTAGATACAGAGAAATAACACTTCTCACAATCTTCAGAATAATGGCAGGGAGAATAAAAGAGAGAGAGGGGAGCAGTGCATTCATCTTAGCAGTAATGTTTGCAATAGAAATAGAAGGGGTTTAAACACTAAATTCTTTGTAGCTATAGAAGATAAATCTATGGGAATTCAAGATATGATGTACCTTGTATAAGAAATACTTTTAAAAAGGAAAGGTGCACTCTAACAACTGGTAGCTATGAAATAACTTGAGAGAATTGTACAGGAAGAACTGTTTCACATTCTTAACATGCTTATAATTCCATAAACAGCTTGTGAAACTTAGTATTACACTACTCATGCAGTTGATTTCCTTCTGAAACTTCTGCCTGATAGTGTAATTCTGTTGACACAAATCTATTCCTCACTATTTCTTCAGTTTGCTGTTGCAAAATGCTGTTAGAGAGAGGAAGGGGAAAAAATATAATAGAGAATCTCCTTTACTGAGGAGTATTTGAAGCAGCATTTTTGAATACTTTGTCTCACCTTACCTCTGAAACAATTTGAAGAGCTGGCAGTGTTTAAATACCATGGAGTATTGAGTATAAGCTGAGTGGATGGTGGTAATGTGTTTCTGAATTACGAACTAGTGTCACCTTTACTTACTGAAAAGTTCTCCTATGTCATCACTTTGGTATCTGATCTTTGTAACATCAAAACTGAGAAATTCTTAGTTGTTGTTGCTTTATTTTCTAAAGTAATTTATTAGGTGTTTGTTTTGCTCCAGGGAATTTAAAGTGAGAAAATTTAAGTTTCTAGGTTACATATTTCCTAAAGTTTTAGAAAGCATATGCACTAGTAAAGTGGAAGTTATTGTCTTTGTTATCAGATGCCATTTCTGAGCTTCCTATTTAGGGTGTCCTGGGAATTTGCTTAACCTCTGAAACCCCAAATTCCAGATGGAATTGGCCTGCAGCAGTGTGACTTGAATCTTTCTTCCTGTTAGATGAAAACTCGTGAGCTCTGTAATGGTGACAGAAATAAACATTTAAGTATGTGCAGTCCTTTGGAGACTATTTTTGAAATGCTGGTATCCTTTTGTATGAATATAGACAGAATGCTAACACAAACATTGTTTGAACTAGCTTCAAATGGTACACTGTGTACAATCTGTGGTTTTTATGTTGTCTTTGCAGGAATTTGGCTAATGTGGAAGAGATTGGGATGTGTTCATACATTAACCATGTTATCACCATGACTACGTTGTACATTCAACAGGTACATGGTTAATAATTCCTGTCTGTATTTCTGTCATCTGATACCTCCTGCTGCTTTTTATGTGATCTGCTCTTTCAGCAATAGTGGGGAAGAATTCATAGGCTCAGAACTGTTCTGGCGGAGATCAAGATAAAGTTTCAACTTCTGGAAATTTTCTGACCATGGCTTTCTTTTTCTCCTCAGTTAAAAAGCAAAACAAAAGAAAAAGAAGTGGAGGATCAGACCCCCATAGAAGAGTTTGTGAGACATGCATTGGCTTTCTGTGAAAGCCTGTATGATCCATATCGGAACTGGAGGCAGAGAATTGCAGGGTATGTGTGGACTAGCACAGGATGCTAAATACTCTGGTTTATGACAGCTTTAACCATCAGTCAGTAGAGTCACATCACAGAAACGTGGTATGCTTTCTCAAACTGGATATGACTTAAATAATTTTCATAAATTATAATATTTTTGCTGTTAATACTAAAGTTAAAACAAAATTAAATTTGAGGGTATATCAAGAGGTGATTGGTTGTAACTGATCACCATGAAGGTGCTTACATTATGTTCTCCTTCCAAAAACTGACCATTTTTCTAAATGAGGGGAACGGAGAAGCCAAAAGAAATGTGGTGGGCAGACCTGCTTGAAATAGAGTAAAATAAGTTATTGAAATTCATAGTGTAGATAACTTATATCTTTGAAAATAAGTTTATAAGTGTAGCAGTAGAATTACAGCCCTTTAATTTGATTGTGTGTTCTCACCAGCCTAATGAACTCATAATAATGTTTTCTGCCCATTTAAAATTGCTTGGTCAACAAATGTGGCATTCTAGCTGGTGGCTTAGTTGCAGTAGGCATGGATTAAATAAGAGATTGCTTTTTTTTAATTTTAATTTTTTTAATTAAACCATTTTGTAAAATGTTAAATATTTTTAAGTGCAGACTGAATATGAGATGAGCTGTGAGTCATGTCTTCAGGATGAAATACTACTTCACTATTCTTTTTCATCCTGTAGGTAAAAGATAACTCCTGATTTATGGCAGCATTTTCTACTCTGTCATATTATAAATTCACATTATAAGTAATAAATCAATACGTAAGTAATAAACAAAGGTATCATGTCTAATTTCTTTGGTGTTTTTTAATGTAATTGCAGACGTTTCCTTAGTACAGTTGAAAGGAGCAGACAGAAATATAAACCAGCTTCCCTCACTGTTGAGTTTGTCCCTTTTTTTTACCGTAAGTATTACTTAACATCCTGTTAAAATATAGTTTTCTGTGGAGGAATGAACTTAGTGAGCCCAAGTAACTTTCTCCTAAGCATGCCTGGTAATGTTCAAGTCATTTACTTGCTTTCTGAGACTGAATGTAGTGGGTTACTTTGTTTGTTTTTTGTATTTCTTCTTTGCTTTGAGCATCACTATTTTGTCATCCCTGCTCATCTTTGAAAGCCTTTTTCTTTATTTCTAGACTTTATTTCAGTGCCTAACGTGGTTTATTAGGGTTGGTTCTGTGAACTTTCTTTTTATTGTGGTACACAGTGATTGCACATGCGATCCCTGTAGTAACTGCACTGATAACTCGTGGAAAAATTATCTTAGGAGAGTGTTCATGCACTTCTGTCTCTTTAATATGCTTTAACAACTAGAAAAAATGAAACTCTGCCATTCAACTAGCAAATGCTCCTTGGCCTCGAGTTTAGGAAACAATTTTCTCTGGTTAAGTCATTAAATATCATGATGGCTACTTTGGAATTTGTATGTTCTTATGATTACAAATTGTTTGTGTGGAAGAGAGGAGCTTACATGTCCATGTTCTGTACTTAAATCTCAAGAATGTGGGATGCCCAGGTAGTTTGCCAGTTGAGCATACCAAAGTGCTAGTGCCTACAGAATTGAAGCAGCAGGAACAAGCTCGAGGGAAGGGCAGTGAAGGAGTGAAATCAGCCCTTTTTGCAGCTATCCCTTAACTAGTTTTAATTGAAAAAAAAATAAGAGAGAGATTATATTCATGGAGTGGTAGCATTTATGAATTTGATTCTTCTAGGTTTGAGTCACAGCTCCTGTTCTTTGAGATTGCATTGCTGCGTACAAAAAATAGGATAGTTGCCAAAAAGACCAAATTGTTACTTCCAGTAAAATGCCCTTATCTACATACCAGAGCACTGAAAACCCACTGTAAAGGCTGCTACTGAGGAATATAATCTATAGGTTCTCTCCTCTCCATTCAGTGCATTGCCCTGGGGTTCCTCCTGTCTCTTAAATACAATATCATGTGACTGAGCTAAAAGTGTGCTCATCAGCCAGCAGATACTCCTCTGCTTGTTGGCCACCTGGCAGAAAGGACAGAGTAAGAAATTGCTGAGCATGTGCCTTAAGCATCCTGCCATGCCAGGACTAATTTGAGGGGGGGTGGTTTTAGTCTACCCAGCCTAATGATTTATTTACAGTCTGCTAGGTACTGCTCTTTTCAATTTGTCTGTAGTTCTGTAAAGATCCAGAGGCTATAAGTCAAGGAGTGGTGTTACTAGCTCACTAACAGTGGGATCATCTAAGTAAGCTTTGTTCTGTTTGGAGAACAGATTGGAAAAATGGCTTTGCAATCTTCTTTTAAAACAGGCTCAATATATGTAATATACTATATTATATATAATCTTACTTTCCAATAAGTGGCATTTCCATAAATAATCCTTTGTAGTTTCTTGCTGCTGTGTTATGTCTGGAGTTATTGCTATAACAACAACATCCAGGTTATATCTATTGCTAAGAAGAGACACTGAGGCTGTCTGGGATTAATTTCCATCAGATATGGCAAGAGAAGAGATGCAAGATAGTTGTCATTAAAGAAATTACTGCTAGAAAGGTTACAGATCTGCACAGGATTCTCTGACAATCTGCCTTAAAGTCAGGAAGCTCAGAGACTGTTTTTTTGAGCTACCTGCACTGCATATGGCATTTCATGCCAAAATTTCTCTGGACTTTATCATGCTTGATAACTGGTTGTTTGTTAGAATGTCCTTCTCTTTCTCATTAATATGGACAAAATGGGCTCATTTTTACATTACAAATTGAGAGCAAAAGTTGTGTGTCAATAGTTCTGTCAGCTGGCATGGGAATTTTATGCAAACTGAAGGTGTGGCCCTGTGAATTCCTGATAAATGTGGTAATGTTGTGTTGCTTTGATTATGCTGGAATTGGTGTGTTTGTGTCCGAGTTATATAAAACAAAGTGGAGATAATACCGTTGATTTTTTTTTTTTAATTTGTATGATAACAGGGAATAGAGGAGGGATTTTTTTATTATTTGTTGGTGGGGTTTTTTTGAGAAAAATCTCCTTTTTGTTTAATCAGAATGCTTTCAAGAAAGTGAACATCTCAAGGAAAGCCTAAAATGTTGCCTGCTGCATCTCTTTGGAGCTATTGTGGCTGGTGGTCAGGTAAGGATACTTTGAACTTTTCAGCTGCTGAAACCTCCAAATGCTTGTTCTTTGTTTAAGATTTTTAAATACTCCATAACTCGTAAATGAGAAGAATTTATTATCCATGATTAATTATTTTTGTCTTAGCAACTTTGGGATCATTCTGGGCAATAATACCTAAATGCTAAAAGCTGGGTCCAAATTTCAAGTAACCATAGAAGTTTGCTGTTTAGAACAACTACATGTTCATATGAATTTACTGTAATCTTTAAGAAAAAATGTGCATAACTAAATTAGGAATTTCCACCTGCACAGATGGAAGTTTTGTGTTCATATGCATGAAATTGATCTATCTTACTTCCCCGTGCTGAAAGTAAGCTGTTTTCAGTAGGAGGCATGGTAGCTTGAAAGGCATTACAGCTTGGAAGCTGTTTAAAGTCTTTGAAAGAACATGAGGAAATGAGGGTATTCATCAGCAGCAAAGCCAACATCCACTTTCTCACCTGGCTCCTGTAAAGTCCTACTTAGTCTGGTCACAAGCAGCTGCTGCTTCTGGTGATCTCCAAGAGAGTGTTTTTAAAGGTTTCCAGGGAGCTGCAAAGCCAGGCTCTGCTCCATCATGGAAGGCAAGTGGAGTCTGAGCAGGATGGCCAGGAGCAGCTTCCTGACCAGCAAAGGGTGCAACCTCACTGCACCCAGTGATGGGAGCAGCTGTGCTGGCTGGAGCCAGGATGGACCAGCCCAACCCAGCCCACTAGACAAGGCTGTGGTGATAAAGCCTAAAGTCAAGCCAGGAAGTCTGGTCAGCACATCAGAGTAAGGGTTTGCTCTGCTGGTGGTAACTAGGGTCAGTCAGGAGGCCAGTGGCTGCCAGCCCCAGCCATGAGGCAGGGCCGAGGTCAAGCTGCAGTCAAGTCAGTGGGTCAGGTTCAAGACATGACACAGCCAGGCATGGCCATGGCTGCAGTGTAGATCAAACAATAAAGGGTTGAGAGCCAAAACTTGAATTCAGCTCCCTACAGGGGACAAAGAATCCCTGACAGGGCTTCTCAAAGCTCACCACAAGCTCAGGCTCCTGTCCCTGAGCCGAGGCAGTCAGGCCCCCAGGAAGAAAGGTGAGGAAAATGCATTCAGGGCCCAGGCAAACATTTGCTGATGAGTGTGTTCTTACCACATGTTCTAAAGTATCATCAATCTCATAATCTAAAATGAAAACTCAGGTGAAGGTTTGCCTCAAATTAGCAGTTTATCAGGGCTAATTTATAAGAATGTTGTAACACAGATTTAAATTGTATTTCCTTTTCTATATAAGCATTCCCTTTGAAAAAGAGAGCCTATTTAAGTGAACAAGATGGGATGAATTTCATCTGTAGCCATCAGCATAATCCAAATAGAATGTTTCTTAGTTATTTAACTACACAGCATTAGTAGACAGAATAATGCATATTGCATGGTTCAGATAACTCAAGTAGACACAGCTGGTTTGAAGAGGTTTAAGTTCTTCTAAATTTATTTTTCTTAATAATTCTTTTGCCTTTATGGGTTTCAGAGGAATGCTCTTCAAGCAGTATCCCCTGCCACCATGGAAGTCTTGATGCGTGTTTTAGCAGACTGTGACAACTGGGATGACAGAAACCCTGAGGAAGTGAGCAGGAAGGCAGAGCTGACTCTGAAGTGCCTGACAGAAGTTGTCCATATCCTCCTCACCAGCAGTTCTGACCAGCGCCAGGTGGAGACAAGTACAATATTGGAGAACTATTTCAAGTTGCTTAACTCAGACCATTCAGCCTTACCTAATCCAAGGCGATGCAGGCAGTGGGAGAGCAGGTTCATAGCACTGCAGGTCCAAATGCTGAGTGAGTACACAGTTCCTTTCAATATTTCTGACAATAACTCTGAAGCAAAAAATATTGACTTGGCTAAGCAATTGAAAAATTTCTAACATATCTTCTTAGATATTTCTTGTTTTAATTATTTACTGTCGTACTTGAGAGGGTCACAAAATGAAGCAATGCTCCACTTTCAGGAGGCTTCAAACCTGGTTTTAATACAGTGTACATGCTATTTATACATTCTTACAAAGCTCATAAGTTTACACTTTACTCATAGGTCAGGAAAGACAAACAGAGAGCTTATTGGAATAGGCAGTTGTAGGTTTCTCTTATTTATCCTTCTCTCTTTCTTGATTTCTATGTCGGTGACCTTGGTAGAAAATTCTTTCAGGGGTAAACATGGATCCTCTTATCAAACTTCTCTCTGGCTCACAGAAGTCGCTGTAAAACCTCTTTCACAATTTAGTAATAAAAAAACCAGAAGAAACCGTATCAGATTGCTGCCATTTAACCAGTGTCAAGGTTCATAGGCTGAAAGTCTCCATTAAAAGAGAAAAACTTTGCTAGGCAAGAAGTGAAGCTTATCAGAACCTTAGTAATTGCAGAATAAAATTGTTCTGTAATAAAATAGCTATGTGGTATTATTTTGTGATAGTTTGATTTTCAAATGGCATTACTGTAAACATTGGCCAGCAGTAATAGTCTGAAAGAGTTGGGTATAAGTTTTTGTGTTAGAATTCAGGGCTTTGAGTTTTTTCCATTTTGATGTTCAGCATGGGAAATCAAGGTGTTTCTTTTCCCACACTTCCAAGAAAACTGAGGAATAGTACTGTGGCCATGGAGAATGCTTACCCTATAAGTCTGCTGTAGAATGCAGAGTAATTACTTGTTGAGGAAAGAAACATTCATGTGCTGTAAAGAAAAGATGATGCTGCTTATGTACTCACTATTGGAAATTACTTGAAACAGAGCCCCAAAGCAATCAAAGATATTCATTTGGTAAAATTGCTCCATAATATTAGTTTGTGGTAGTCTTTACTGTGTCAAAATGTTTAGCTTTAGGCCTAGTGATTTGTTCTTAAAATGCATATCATTCTTGATCAAAAGTGCAGATAATATAATTTTTTCCTGATATGTATTGTAGAATGTGCAGGAAAAAATGCTTGATGGATTTGGGATGTGTTTTGTCTTTGATGCCAGTTCTATTTTAATTTTATAGATACCATCACAGCCATGTTAGACTGCACAGATAGGCCTGTTCTGCAGGCAATTTTCCTTAACAGTAACTGCTTTGAGCATCTCATTCGACTCTTGCAGAACTGCAAGGTAAGTGTTCCCTTATCAGCTTATTTTTAACAAACCCTGCTTTGTATTATTACTAATGAGGTGGAGGTGTCTCATTTGTCTTGTGGTTAAAGCAATGAATACTTTGAGTCCTGAGCAAAATACCTTTGCAGACCCTGCTCAGTCTCCAAAAACTGTTACAATCTTTGAATTACTGCTGAATCTTTTCCTACCTATTACAATCTTTTCCTACCTATCTCTCAGATGTCAGACTTTGAGCTAAGCACAGTAATCTCTTAACAGTATGTCTGATTAAAAAAATCAATCCCTCCTGCCTTTTTATTTGGCTTTTTATTGTGGGATTTTGTTATTTTGTTTTGTTTCTCTTATATTCTATCAATGGATCATTAGGAAGTCACTTAACAACTGCTGCCAGATGAAGGTCTGAATTCTAATTTCAGAGGAATTTTTCCATTTAAAAAAATCTTTCTGGTGTCCCATTTTAAGTCTTTCAGAATATTTGAATCCTGTCTGTGGCTGACATAAAACATGAGCTCAAGCTGTTAAAAATGCTCCTCAATTTTTCCTTTTCTACATAGGATCTAGGGTTTTCATCTGAGTTGCAAATGGTCATAATTTGCAAACTTCCACTGATTGCACTGATTTTATTTTTCCCTGTGTGAAAGAACACAGATATGATGTAACTCTCTGCACTATTTCTTTTTGTGATATATTATTGTGATCTGTGATATGTTAGTGACATAGCTGTTTTGAGCTCTTCTGATGTTAGATTATTTAATGCTAACTACACTGTGCAATTTGTTTCTAATCCCTTTAGATTTTGGATTAGAATGTATTTCAGTGCAATGATGTATTAAAAATAAATGTGTTTGGATTATGTCCTAATTGTAATTATAATTAGAGGCAGAATGCCAGCTGACTTGAAGTGTTTTAAATAGTCTGTAGCTTTATTATCTCCTTCTGAAAATACATTGTTTGACCTTTCCATTCTTCTCCTGTGTTTGGGAATCTGCCTGTTTTTGTAGTAACCTTGTACTTGATAAGAAGCTCCTTTTATAGTTTCTTCTCAAATCATCAGCAGTGTGATGTTTACCTCTTCATGGAAACTCTTTGCTGTGTTCCTGCACTTGTAAACAAGTGGTGGAATTCAAGAAAGCAGGAACAGCTGATCTATTTTTTCTTGCAGCTTGCTGTTTTTATTTTCATTCTGCCTGTCTGTATGTTACAAGATATGTTCTTTTAAGGTTTTTTCCAGGGGTACAGACTCACATATCACTGTGTTGTTTAGAGATCAGTGCTGCCAGTTTGGTACACAGTGTACTTTTTTAGCATTTCACAGGCAAAATACCCCCACAGATGAGAAGTGGGAGAGATAGAGGCAGGGCAGGTGTTGCAGTATATTTGTACTTCCAAATATACTGTGTCTCCATTCTTTTTCAAAGGTAAATAGCAAAGGTTGAGTTAGTTTTGGAATTAGCATTTCTCCTTATTAGTTGGGGGTGGAGATCCTAGTTCTAGATTTTATTCCTTCTTTTGTGAAAATTGCTACTGGGTTCCTAAGCAAACTGTGTGTGGAAAGCATGCTCTGCATTTCCGCAGAGAGCATGAAAGTCCATACACATACCTGAAACTCAGGAAGTGATTGGATCTCCTGCAATTTGAAATGCAAGTAATTTCTGTGGAAAGGAGGGGTAAAGCAAATCCGTACCACTATTTCTGCTCTAGATATCCCAAAGAACTTGGGGTGTTTAAAGCTGTATTTCTACTCATACTTCCTAATAATTTGCAGTATTACAATCTTCTGAGATGTAAATCCTTTTTTTTTCTTTGCTGGTGTTAAGGCTCATAGGCAACTGTCTTTCCTTAGCTATGCTTTAGGGTTAGAGATCTGCACAAAAGCTTTTCAAAACTGCTTGGTTAACTTTTGATGATATGAATGTCACTTTTTGCCAGTGATATCCATAAAGAGGGACTGTAATCAGGAGGTGCTTATTCTGTACTGAGAGTCATTTAACAATCTGGTTTGTCAGTGCTGAATCTTTTCTCATCTGTTTAACTATCTCAGAGGTCAGACTTTGAGCAAAGCACGATGATCTCTAACAGTATGTCCGATTAAAAGAAAAAAAAAGTGGTTTTTTAACAGCTTTTAAATGGAAAAATTAAAACCTTGTAGACATTGTAAAAAGAAATCTATTTTTCCTTTTCACATGCCTTATGAGAAATGAAGCAACTTGTACCAAAAGTTTGATGACATCTTTATTTTTTCATTGTCTCCGTTTGCGTTTGTTTAATGTTCTTATTCTTGCTAATGTTATAGTCCTCTAAGACATATTATAGTTACTCTGCATTGTTGAGTGCTCTTGGCTGTGATGTACCTTTCAAAGTGTTTCTAGCAATGTGCTTTCACACCTATGTAAGTCAAAGTAATATCTTCAGTGTTGTCCTTTGTTTTAGCCAAATTTATGGAAGTTGATTTCTCAGGTTGTTCCTCTTCAGGGAGACTGACCTAGCAGATAATGGAGCAAAATGTGTGTGTGGGGGGGGGAAAAGAAATGCTTAGGTTTTACTCACTGAAGGAAAGGGTTTATATTTTTTAAAGCAACTTTTAAAACATTTTGATCAGAGTTTTTTGGGTTTTTAAATACCTCAATAGAATCTTAAAACAGAAGGAGGTAAATCTTAGTCCTGATTGCATTACAGCTAAATTTGGCACACAAATTGTCTGCAATTGATTATGAATTTGGGTCAGTTTGAAACTGTCAAATTCAGGTACTGACTAGGAATTTAGCTACTGAACACAGAGCAGTTCCTTAGCTGAAGATGCAGTATAGGTGTATGTTTGATTTGAAGCTACTTGCAACCTGTCTGCTTCTTAGGATGATGGCAGAGATATTTTGCCCTCCTTCCTGTCCCAAAGACTGTGTGCCCCAGAAATTCTGCTACTGTGCTGTTTGAAGATGAACATATTCTGTCTAGGTATCTTCAGCTTTCACCTAGGCTGAAACATAAGTGGAAAATGATGAAACATTTGTATCCATTTCCTTGTTAATGCCCCACTGTTGTCTTTATTTCTTACAAGTAAATTTCTTACAACTCTGTCATATTGCTTATTGTGAATGAAATCACAGTTGCTAAGCCAGAGATGAGTACAAATTCCAGATAAATCTCTCTTTGTCTCAGTGATTACATATTTTCTTTCTTTTTTTTTTAAATTACTCTTTTGCAAAAATACAATGTAATCATCAGTATTTTTTCCCCCATTTTTGTTTTTGTATGTGAAATACAAATATAAGGCAGCCTCCACAGATTTGGCTGCAGGTAACTGTTTAATGCAATTATTTCCATTATTCTTGTCTCTGTTTCTAACAGCTGTTTTTAAATGCTAACAATAAAGTGGCAGACAAGAGTGAGAAAGACCTTACCAACAAATTACTGACAGAAATGAATGAGGACCAGGTACCTACCTAAACTGTATTTTGCTTCAGTTGAAGTCAAGACACAATCACAGGAAAATTGATTCCTGTGCTTCACCTTAACCATCCTCCTTAAGCCTTCTGCAGCAAGATGAACTTTTGATGCTGCAGAGATCAGCATTTCCTGTCACTGGAAAATAATTTTTCTGAATAACAGATTGAATTCAGCCTATGTTTTATTCATCTGCTTCAAACTGCAGATACTGGCAATAGAATGAGCATCAGTTATGCTTCTTTTAAGGAAAAGGTGAAGCACATGAATGAGATCCAAATTAATTTTCTCAACCTGATGGTGATTCTTTTTCCCCTCCTTTTCCTCTTTTTTGCTCTTTGTCTCAGCACTGTGGTGTTTTGGATTCTGAGGCCTTGTTTGTGAAATCTCAATGGTTGTGTTTGGTGTCCTGGTTCTTAGCTTGTCATCAAGAACAGATGTTCACAAAACAATGGACAGGCTGAATCAGGGAGGTAGGAATAGCCTGTTGCTTCGCTTTTCCCAAATACTGTGGAAAGTTACAAATGCCAACTTTTATATAAATTTTATAGTAGAATTATTTGTTCTGATTAAAAATGTAAAAAAAAGCTGAATACAAGGGATGGTTATTTACAAATTGTGATTTTTAACTAATAGCTTTGGCTTTTTTGGACACAGCACAACACTTTAACCATATGTAAATGTTTCTTCACATCTAATAATCTTGACATTTCACTTAATTCTTGACATTTCACTTTCAAAATATGTCTGAGGTGCACATCATTTTTCAGAGATGATGAAACAGTATGTTTGTTTGCACAGTGTTGCTAATTAGGTTTACTGATGGATGCAAAAGAGTGCTTCAACATTTTTGTTCTTAAAACCATCATAGACATATCAATATAAACAAGAATTATAGAAAAAAAAAACCTCAAAAGATTACTTAAATTGGAGAGAGAGGTGTTGAATCAATGCAATGAGGCTGTGGGTGAGGCAGCCACCTAACTATGCTGGTGTGACTTATCTCTTAGATTTTGGGGATGTGTCTGTGCTGCATTGGTTTGCAGGGCCTTGGATGGAGAATAAGTCACTTGATATGAACTGCAGATGCTGATTTTCCAGCAGCACACACACTGCAAGAAATTTCTAATTGTTTTCCTCCCTCCCTCTTGAGGTTGTCCATTAGACGCATGAGGAAAACTTGTTTGTCCATCAGAATATTTGAGGTGCGGTTTGTGTTGCGAATGCTTCTCTCCTCTTGAAGTCTGTGGTTAGTTGTCTACTGTGATGTAACTCCTTGTAGGCTGTGGGGTTTGAAATTTTGGCTGGTGGGGAGATGATTTTTGAAGCATGTTAGCAAATTCGTGGTTTCCCTCCTGGCAGGAGGGCACAGCGCAGATGTTGGAGCTGAACTGTCTTTGCATGTGTTGTATGACTTCTGTACCTGCTCCTTTCAGGTGTTTCAGGGACACCTGGACTCCTTGGCAGTGTCAACCATTCAAGCCCTCACAGCAGTAATGCACAAGTCTCCAGCTGCAAAGGTAACAGTGTCTATGCACAGGGCTGTTTGCAGCTTCTTCATCTTTTTCCAGTTGTACCTTGATGGATCTTGCTAATGGAGATGAGCAGATTGTGCTCACACATTCATGCCAAATAGGAATAGCTGATTAGCATTTCTTATCCCTTTATATGTGTCTGATGGCTGAACACTGAGTCATCTTTCTACCTAAACTGGAAGATCTGAGTATGCTGGCAGTTGGAACCTTTGTAAAGAAAGGACATTGTTACTTGTCTCATGGATATATGGGGTAGACTTAGTGGGTATTTAGAGGAATTTTCAGGCAGCTGTTTGTGTTATAGTTTTATAAGGCTTTAAAGCAAGCCAAGACAGTATTACTGTCCAGATGGTGGTCATGCTATTGCCCTGTGCCCTTCCCTGGTAGTTATTCTTGTGATTTGGTAAATGGATAGGTTGTGGTTAGTTTGTGATTCTGACTGGAAGCTGAGCCCATGGAAAAACAGTATATTTATTCCTGGGTTGCCGAGTTACTTAAATCCAGCCCTTGGCTGAATGATCCCTGGACTTGGCACAGGTAAAGGGATGTGACTGTCCAGTGGAGGATGAAGGAGGAGTGGGAATCATTTATTTTTTTGCTACTTGCAGTACAGCCTAAGGGAGAGACAACAGGATCTATTATGCTCCTCCAGAGCTTTACTGAAGGTGTTTATTTCTCCACTGACTCTGGAAAGCCTGGGAAGAGTTGTGTGTTGGAGATGGGGCCTAGCTGGGATTCACAGAGAGTCAGAGTTTTCAATTGTACTTCTACTGCAATATGTGTATTTTTTCTTTTCATGTTTACCTAAGTAATCACCTCACTTCTGCTGAACGATTTATTCTTTTAAAAAAAGTCATTTCAACACAAACTAGAGCCAGGAGAAGAGTATCCATTCCATATGATGTATTAGCTGTTTAATAATTGAACCATAAATGGATACTACCATTTGAACTTTGCTGGTTGATTTTTTTTCTTGTAAAATCAGTTAGTTTTCAGGAAAACTTCTGTGGAACACTTCTCTAATTTTTTAAAGTTTTTAGGATAGGTGGTTTTTAATCTGCTCTAGGAAAGTTTTTTACTGAAAGATTAATATTTTAATATTTCTGTGTTTCAGTGCAAACATTTCAAGCTATAGTTTGCACTAAAAGGATGAAAAACTAAGCTCTTTATTCATTGTGATATTATTAACATTTGGGTTATACCAAAGTAGTTATATTCTTTGTAGGTAATTAATAAAATACAACTTTGAGCTGTTATTTATCTGTGTGCTACAGTGAAATGCTTCTCATCTGCAGCATTCTAGAGACAGTAGATTGAACAGGTTATCAAAAATAGATTTCTAACCTGTAATTATTACATTCTAATTATTATGTGTCTAATATTGCATTAAACTGTCTAAATTAAAATTAAAAGTTGCTTGTCTACCTGCTGCAGTAGACAAGCAGTTTTTGTCCATTTTACTTGTTAGTGAGTTGGGAATTTTTATCCTCAGGAGGTCTTCAAGGAGAGGATTGGGTATGCACACATATATGAGGTACTGAAATCACTGGGTCAGCCGTCACGGGAATTGCTGGAGGAACTCATGAATATGGTGAGCTGTGCTTGCTTTGAAGCAGAAATCTCTCATCTTTCAACAGTACTTCTGGCCCCGTCTTATTGTGTTTCATGTCTGAGTTCCCTGCTGTTTTTCAGGCTGTTGAAGGTGACCACATGGCTGTTGGGATACTAGGCATTAGTAATGTCCAGCCCTTATTGCTGCTCATCCAGTGGCTTCCAGAGCTAGAATCCCACGAGCTGCAGATTTTCATCTCCAATTGGTTGAGGCGAATCTGCTGCATTGACAGGCAGAGCCGTGCCACGTGCGTCAACGCAAACATGGTCATCCGCATCATCGAGACCCTCAATTCCCACTCGGTGCTGCACTGCACCTGTGCAGAGAACCTGATTGCCCTGCTGGGCTCCTTGGGGAGTCAGTCCATGGGCTCAGAAGAGCTGCTGCAGCTGGTGCGGCTGCTGCGGCCGGAGGAGCCACGGGGCGCACACCCCTACGTGGTGCCGGCGATGCGCGCGCTGCTGGCCATGGCGCGCAAGCAGGGCCTGGCCAGCGCCCTGCAGTACTTCAACCTGCACCACAGCATGGCCGGCATCGCCCTGCCCGCCATCCACAGGTGGCCGGGCTCCGCCTTCTCCTTCAACGCCTGGCTCTGCCTCGACCAGGACCGGGTGGAGCCCGGCTCGATGGGCAAAAGCGGCAAGAGGAAGCAGCTCTACAGGTACAGTTACTGCTACAGCCTGCAGGGCTGGGCCATCTGTGCCCTGTGGCGTTTGGTACCGTGGCATGTGCTGCTTCTGCTTATCTTCATCAGAGGCAATACTTAATGCTGCTCTGGGAAAGGGAGAGCTTTCAGCTGTCAACACAGCCAAGTTCTGTTACAGAACTTTAGTGTAGTTCCTTCGCTGTAATGTCTTGTCATCTGCAGTTTCAACATCCATAACTCCAAATTGTGGGAAGGTTAATTGCTTAAAAAACACAACATTAAAAACCAAAACCCAAACCCAAAACCAGAACAAACTTTCACACAGTTTGTTGTGAATGTAATGAACTCTGGATTTGTATAAGTGCACAAGTGAGAAGGCACCTTCATGCTGCTTAAATAGTGCATATTGACATGAATGCTTCTTGATGTAATTTAACTTCTTAGGTACTAATAGAAGCAAACAAAATGTCTTTTTGGTCTTTTTTTTTTTCTTTTAATAAGTAACAGTCGCATAGTAAATATTGCACCACCACCAAACAACTTGGGTGGATTTTCTTCTTAATGAGTGTATTGTTAGGTGGTAGTTTTGATGAAGCAAGTCCTTGATTGTGTGTCTCTTGTAGCTTTTTTACAGCAAGTGGTATGGGGTTTGAAGCCTTTATTACGTGCTCGGGGGTATTGGTGGTTGCAGTGTGCACAAAGAGGGAATATGCAACAGTGATGCTGCCTGACCATTGTTTTTTTGACTCTCTCTGGGTAAGATTTGATACTGACAAACACTTTGTTTAGGATTGTATTGTTAGCTCAGAAGTCAAAATTATGGTTTTTTGATCATTTAACAAATAGTCTGTTTTATAATATTGCGATAATTCATTGCATAAGAGCAGTTTTAATCTCAAATAGTACAAGCAATTTTCACATAGATTAGTTGTTGATTGAGCTAACTTATGCATGTATGTTAGGCATTTTTGTTGATTAAGTTTGTTGCAGCATTAGAGGTTTTGATATTAAATTAAAACAGGCATAGATGGCTGTGGTGCTGTCTCTGCATTACCCTTTTCTATTCCTATACTTAAGAACTGATGTGCATTACTATGAAAGAGCTGTATCTTTCTCTTCCAAAACCTGTTTATATGTAAACATTACATTCACTCCTTTGAAATAGAATCAGCAGATGTTCTTGTTATATTCTTTTTGGTGCTTTGGATTTACTTTCTTACGTGCTTTCCTCACCAGCTTAGTAGAGATAAAGTTAAATAGTTTCATATAGTAATTTCGCTGCTCTTAATAATGACTTAATTATTTTTTATTGCTTAACCAGCACAACATAACTATTGTCCACGTGCCTGGAAAGAGGCCCTTTGGTCAGAGCCTTGTCTATATCTATGTCAATGGACAGCAGAAGGTCTCTGCCCCACTTCGATTCCCTGCTATGAATGAAGTAAGTTCCCTTCTGAGCCATTGCCTGGTAGGATGAGCTCTCATACAGCAGTGATTCTACAGACTGCTGCTAGTAATGTTCAGCCATGGATACTGTCCAGAATTATCCTTTTGAAATGTAACTAACCATTAAGTAATTTTTATTTAGTCATCTCTGTTTAAAAACAAAAAAGTCTACTAGGTGACATTAAGTAGTGGGGTTATCCTCAAAATAATTGCCTGAGCATATTGACATAATTTATGGTGACATCATAATAACTGGCAGCTCTACCAGTAGAATTGTTGTAACAGTACTCAATGGGGAATATTCCCCGTTATTTTCATGTGTTTTTACTGGGGTTTTTTTGAGTGTTTCCTTAATATGCTATTCCTCATTCCTTTAGTAACTGAATAAGCACTTTATGTGCTGTTAATCTAACCATTTTGGATGTATACACATTTAGCAATACGCTACCCATCAAAATGAATGTATGTCATGTTTAATTTCCTCTGTAAGCTTTGTTCATTCCTTTTGGGAAACAAATTTATATTAAACTGGGCTATAATACCCAACATTCTTCCCTCTTTTCTAAGTTCTATTTTGATATTTTCTTAAGTATGCTGAGAAAACAGTTAACTTGCATGCTGTAATGGTACAATCAATATAAAACTTACTTAAAAATGAGAGAAAGTGTAGTTTTCATTTCAAGATCAAACCCTGGATTTTGGTCCATCTGTGAAATAAACATTATAAATCTTAACGTAACTAGACGTAGGGCAGGTAATTTTACCATGAGAGCATCTGTTTGAATGGACTAACTGATATGAGAAATGTGCAGTAGCAGACATGCTGGGCTAGTATTTTGGAATATAGTGCAGAAGAGGAGTGTTTACAGAGGATATCAGGAGCTGTCCTTCCTGCTGTGCTCCTGCCAGAGGTCATGCAGCACTTGAGGTAACCAAATTGCTCTTAGTTGGAAAAAGGGCGTTCTCTCCTATTATGAGAAGCATATGCTCTGGTTTTTGACCTACTGTGATGGATTGCTTGGCAGAACTTGTTGCTTGGGGTTTCATTTATTTAGTTCAGATTTGCTAGATGCAGTCTTCAGATTTAAAGCACAGATTTACAGTATATGTTTTGTTTTCTTTCTTCCATGTATGACTCTCCAGTCTTTCACTTCTTGCTGCATTGGTTCAGCTGGTCAAAGAACAACAACTCCTCCTCCCTCTCAGATACCAGATCCCCCTTTTTCCTCCCCAATCATGCCCCACCGGACGTCCCTTGGGGGCATTCTCGCTCCAGGAGCTTGGGGTGGGGTGCTTGGAAAACCAGAGTTCATCACCAAAATGATCTCAGCAGGGACTCAGGACAGTGAATGGGGGTGTCCAACATCCTTGGAGGGCCAACTTGGATCAGTTATTGTCTTTCATGAAGCACTGCAACCTTCTCAGGTGAAAGCATTATATTTAGCAGGTAAGTGGTGTTTGTTCTGGTTTTAGCAAAGTAAAAGGAATGAGTTATGAACAAGACCCCATTAAGCTTTGCTCTACACAGACACATAATGAAGAACTTACAATCCAGAAGAACTGCAGAGCTGACCTAAGTGAGAGGGCTTTAAAGCAAATAAGTGTAACATTTAATAAGTATGTTATGAAGTTTGATTTTAAAATGTTATATTTGCTTAAGCTCATCTGTTTATCATATGAGCAGACCAGCAAAATTAAAACATTAGGTAATAATTTCACTTGTAAATTTCTGAATTTTTGCTACCCTTTGCCTACATGTGTTTACAGAGACTCTGAAAGTATTGCCCTTATTTGTTAGGCCACTTAAAGGTGATATATGCTCGAGGATTTTCCCATAAGAATAAATAATTAAGTGGTCATTTTGAAGAAAATACTCTGAAAGCTATGTTGTACAGTTCAAAGTGTGAACGATATTAAGTTGCATAATAACTCAAGGTTGTTATAGATTGGCATTAAAACACTTGTATCATTTAAAGGAAATATTTTGTATTGCTAAACAAAACTATCTTGAAGCTTGCTAATTTTGTGGGCATTTAGGCTTGATGACAGATTAGTGACAAATATAAGATAGGTGTTTGTACAGACAAAGATGAGAACTGATTGAAGGTATAAAAACACCTCTTCTTTGTGCAGTTTAGCATTTCATGTAGAATGTGTTCCTTTTTAAGCATGCCCTCTGAAACGAATTATTTAAGTCATAGAATCTCTACTTCGAAGCATGTTTGAAATAGATACAGTTCAGACTGTCCCATTTGTTCTTCCAACATGTTTGGTATTATAACATTTGTAAAGGGCAACATTATTAACCACTGGACTGTTAAAATATGTTATATGATTTTATATACCTTTTTTTTTAATAGGTCCAAACTGTTTAACTCCATGGAAATCTCAAGAAGCTGAAGTAGCAGACCTCCCCAGTAAGGTGCTGCTTCATTATACACCAAAGGTATGAACCAGGACATAATTTCTGTTCGACTACACAGTGTGCATTGCTTTCAGTGTTTGCACTGTGGCTTTTATGGGAAGATAAGGAGCAATGAGAGCTTTCTTAAACTGTAGTCTTGTGCAGACATAGTAGGTTTGGCAAAAGGATGGAATTATCTTGTACAATAGAGAATGTCAAATCTAAAATGGCATATGTTATATTCTAAGGGTTTCATGTTGTTTAAATACTTTAATATCAACACATTGGCAGAAAATCTTGTGTTCAAGCATCTGTAGATGCTTGATGACATCATGTCTTCTTTATTTGTTTAATAGGCCTGCAGAAACCCAATTTGCCTTGACCTGTCTGCAAATCTTTTACATGGAAGACTAACTGGAAACAAAGTAGTGAATTGGGACATCAAGGTAAATGTGTTGTAAAGAGGCAGAACCTGATGTAAAACTGACAGTGGCTGTGTGTGTTCATCTAACTTTTGGAATGCTGGAAGTTATTATCATAATGCAAATTTTTTTTGCATTATGATAAAACACCATGTTTTTATGCTGAGAATTCATGGGCTAATGCTGTAGGTGGAGTAGTGTTGCCTTTACGTTACATTTATTGAGAACTTATGAGTGCCACTGCTTTTACTGGCACAGTACATGAAGATATTTTGTGGTAGCTGACAATTCTTCATAATAATGTTGAATGCATGTTGTGTATCAAGAGCATTTTGTCATCTCTAGGGAATTCTGTCATGGTTTTCTTTGTCATAAACTTTGAGTTAGATGAAGATTACTAGGGTTTGGTTAACACTTGGGACTTGTCAATAGAATACCACGTTTATTCATCTTGAGGAAAATGTATGCACTATAAATAAGATCTGCCTTTTTTTTCCAAGAACTGTGAACAATTGACTGTACTGGCAAACTGATTAATGAGGAAATATTGTTGGAGCTGCACACTACATATCCAGTGTGCACATATCTCACTGTATATATCCACTGTGCATATCTCTACAACCACTTGCTGAGACTAATGTTAAGAATATTCAGGCACTTGTTAGTTAATTTGCTATGGTGTGAATAGTTCCAATACTTTGATTTGTTCTCTTTGCCCATTAATGGGCTTCACAGTATTTGTCTCTGGACCAAGCTGGGGAAGTGAGTGGGTGTCTCTGACTAGCTTGCTAAAACCCTGATTTTGAAATGATTTGAAGTGGTTGTGAATCACTTCCAGAAATCTTGTGTTTGGAATATATTATACCTTACCACAAGAAGCATTGTTTGAACAACAGAATCCAGAATCAATTAAATTGGAAACATCCTCTGAGGTCATCAAGTCCAACCTGTGACCAAACACCATCTTGTTAACCAGACTGTGGCACTAAGTGCCAAATCCAGTCTGTCCTTAAGCACCTCCAGGGACTGTCTTGTGCTATCTCCACTTGTGAGAAGAAGGGGAAAAAAGGGGACTTAGGAGACTTGAATTTTAAGGAGAGGCTTAGAATTGATGTATGTGTAGAGTTATTTAAAAAAATTGTATTATTTAATTGCCTGAAGTTGAAATGCTGCGTGAAGATGATTAAAACAGAGACATGTATAATCTTATAGTCTTCTCTTGCTGCTTGCTGCAAGTAACTTAGAAATCACAGAGATGTTTTTCCTGGTTTTTAAATATATTTAGCAGATTTTGTGTCCTTCAGTTTTCAGTGTTTATATGGGGGGAGGAGGAAGGAAATGTACAAAATGTACTTTCAGAACAAGAGCTGACAGGATGGCCCATGTGTAAGTGGCCTGTGAGACATTCTGATTGGTTTGTGAGTACTCTTGTATGCAGAGTAAATTTTTGTTATAATGGAAGGGGTTTTATTTATGGTGATGTTTATCCTGCCTTTTCTCTTGATTCAGGATATGATCAACTGTATTGGTGGGATGAATGTGCTGTTTCCATTGCTGGAGCAGATCAGCTTTCTTGGTGCACAGATGCCTGAGAAGTCTGAAGGAGAAGTTCTGCCTCCAGAACTTGTAACTCCTGTGGAGGGTGACTGGGTGGTCTTTTCATCCCCAAAGGCATCAGGTAGGAAAGTGAAGCTGAAGTGACCTAATTTTTGAGCTTGATTTTACAAGTCCTTTTTTGAATGATGGAAGTCTGTTTATTATGTGCTGAATTTTCCAGAGCATCTGTGTGAAACTGAAAGGCTCTTTCTGTTTCTAGATACCTGACATGGATACTGAATACCAGGAGTTCAGCACTATATAAAAAATAATATAACATGTTTCAAGTATAGATATATTTAATAGCATTATTTTTCTTTTCATGATTTACTGTTAGAGGTGCCAAGGTTTGACATTGTTTTAATTTTTGTTCTGATTATTTTGAGAAATTGTTTGATGTAAAACTTACTAATATCAACAGGAGAAGCTTTCCTACAGCTTGAGAGCTGGGTCACACAGGCATGTGGGGACAGCAGCATCAGAACTGCACTATTTAGCCTTTAGCCAAACTTATATTTTCTTAATGAAATATTCAGGCTCCTGCCTCTTCCACACATAGTCACATGTTAAGGAAGAGATTTTTTTAAAGCTTTGCTAATATTGAGAATTAACTTTGACCTTAACAAAAACCACTGAGAAAGCAAACCTTGCAAGGCAGAACGCTACTCTTTTACACAGATGAAATGATGGAGAAGAGTGAAAAAAATAGGTCTTCTCTGTCTCTAATTTTTTGCATACCATGGCTAGGAAGTGTCAGTTTGCAGCTACAGAGGGAAAATAACAGCATTTGCAAAAGATTGTAACAAAGAAGTTTGTAACCTACAGTCATGGATGAAGCAACTGAAGTCAGGACTGGGATCACTTTGCTCTGGAGAGGCATGGAATGGCTATGATTCTGCGCAGGAAAAAATCTAAAGACAGGCTACAGCTGAGGAACAGGAGCTGAGAAGTTCAGGAAGTAGTGAGGAATATAAACAGTTGATTTTACTTTTTCCCCTCTATTTTTATGCAGTGATCCAATGATAAACCATAAGACTTTAGCTACTGTTGTTCTGTTCTGCAGAAGCACGTCTGGAGAAGAACATAGTTGCAACTTTCATCTTGATGATAAAACACTTTATTCAGGGACATCATGTTAATCAAGAAAATCTCATTCACTCCCATGGAGTTGCCACCCTAGGAGCCTTGTTACAGAAGGTGAGCAAACTTGAGAAACGTCATTTAGTAATGAATTTTGTGGATGAGGTTCTGATTTTGAAGCATAGCCAGAATGCCACAGTCTTTAAAGGCCTCCTTAGTAAGAATTTTATTTCTTGTGTTTCTAAAAGCAAAAAGGTGAGAAGTTGGTATTTATCTGCAAAGTGAAATACAATGTTTCATTTTCTGTAATGTTCTGGTTTTTTGATATAAACATTGTGTTGTTTGGTTATTCAAATACTTTTGTGTTTATTTTATTGCTTTAATGGAGCAGACATTGCTGTAGAAGATAAAAGAAACTTAAACTTCCATTTTTTGAAATAAAATTTTATTAGGACATTCAGTATTTTGAGTGCTGACCCCTGTTGTTATTTTGCAAGGTGCCAAGCATCCTAATGGATGTGAATGTCCTAATGGCTGTACAGTTGCTGATAGAACAAGTCTCAGTAGAAAAGAACATGCAGCTTTTGCAACAGATGTATCACCACTTGCTTTTTGACTTCAGCATCTGGAACAGTGGTGACTTTCCCTTCAGAATTGGTGAGCTCTTGGCCTCAGGCAGCTGTGTGAAGGCACAGGACTCTTCACATGACACAAATCTTTATCTTGGTTCTAAAAGAAACCTTTATGTTGTAGGACATATACAGTATCTTTCTACAATCATCAAGGACAGTAGAAGGCTCTTCAGAAAGAAGTATGGTGTGCAGTTTCTTCTAGACACACTCAGGATTTATTATGGGTATGAGTTTTACTACTTCTGACTCCTCATTTATTTTGTGTGGCTCTTGGAGTTTTTTGCCATCTAAAATTAATAAATAAAACCGCAGGTTGGATTTTGTTGGTTGATTTTGTTTACAAAATTGCATTAATTTTTTTTCCCATTTGATTTACTTCTTTGCCTTGCCTTGAATTTTTATGCTAAGATTATGTAAAGTTTGTCAGTGACACTAGGAGTGCCTGTCGAAGTAATTAAAACTACAAAATTGTAGTTAAACAATGCAAATTAAGTCATAGATCATTACCATTATAAAAAGTTTAGCATTTTAAGTTTTCGTAAATGCTTGTAGAATTTTGAAGTAAGACTTCTTTAGAAATTTAAAATTTTAACCTTTCAGTGCTGATGATTTTTATCTGCTTATGAACATAATTATGTGTTTGAGGAAGATTGGCAAGAGACTTTGCTGTTTCCTGTGGGAGGTGGGAACCTGCAATGCTGACCTACATCCAGATCAATACAAGTCTGCATTTCAGGGCTTTGATAGACATACAAAGTCTGATCTGATTATTACTGTTCAGTTGCTTGAGTTCAGTAAAAATTGAACGCTTGTGCACGATGCCTGGGTAGATGAAAAATTACCAAAGTGGCACCCTCAAATTGCTGTTAATGAGCCAAGAAGAGCTTCCTTAGGTTGTCTTTTTGGTCTGTTGGCAAGCAGGACTGGCTGTAAAGATGGTGATTTGGCTCCTGATGACCTGAGGACAATACGGACGTCCCTGTATGGACTGATCAAATATTTCCTGAGCAAAGGTGGAACACATGAAGAAATTCAGAGCATTGTAGGATACATAGCTGCCACCAGTGATGAGGAGCAGGTATGCAACATGGCATAAATTAACAGTTTAAACTGGACATGATTTGATTTGGCATCTTGGCATTTAGAAATCATGCCTTGTGTACTTAAAAGAAGGGTGAACGAAGAAGAAAATGACCACAAGCAAAATATTAGCTGATGTGTGGTTCTGTTTAGATGTAGGGAAGATAAGGATGTGCCATTAGAAAAGTTATCTTACTTTACAAAACCAAATGAATTGATTTTCAACCTACCTGGAGTTGGGATGACATAGTTTCTATTTTATGGCATCAGCAGCACTTGGTCTTGCTTTGTGTCCGTGCTTAATGAGATAAGGTATTCTATAGAGAGAAGAAAATGTATTACAAGTTGTTTAAAGGCACTAATACTGAGCCACAGAATGTCTATTAACCAGCAAAGGTAAAACTTAAAAACCAAGAAAATTTTCCTAAAACAAAGCATGAAATCTAAATGAACTGGGTATTAATTGTCTTGTCTTCATTTTGTAGCTCTGCGGAATTCTGGATGTTCTCTTCAGCCTACTTCATTCCAGTCCAACCCCAGACCAGCTTTTTTTATTGCTCTTTGAACCAGGGAATGCTGATATTCTTTATGCTCTGTTATTGCATCAAAGATACTCTGACAGGCTTAGAGAACTTGTGTTCAAGGTAATTAATTGAATGATATGTTCCTAAATTAATCAATTGAGCATAAATTTGTGTTTTCCTTTGGTCTGGCAGAAGTGTATGTAATTACAAAGATACTGATCATCCAAGTTTGCTTTTTTCTTTTCTCTTATGTTAGCTAGATGGCATTGTCACAAAGGAATGTGTTCTCTTAAAATAAATTATCGGGATCTTTAACAAAAACTATCCATGTTGTTTTAGTTAGTTTATCAAATAAACTTTAAAAATTGTGGACCAGCATGTCATAGTATACACAAGTTTGAGAGATAAGGATGCTTTTCTGTGCTCAATTTGCATTTGTGTCTACTTTTCCTTACAGATCGTGGAAGAGATGCTGAAATGTACCAAAGTTTATGAGCGGAGCAAGCACCGGATGAGGCTCAGAGAAGTGGGGTACTCTGGGCTGGGACTCCTTCTGAATGAATCCCATGTTACTGTTTCTCTTATTAAAAACCTTCTTAACCAAGTTCTCTATGCAGGTAATTGGCAAGGGCTGTATCTGACCTTAGTACTCTTCTGCTGCTCAGAGGCCAGCATCCCTGGTTTTTGTTAGGAGAGCCAGAGGTGTTGCTTGTAGAGCTGTTCTGTTCAAAGTTCCCATTAGTCTCAGCTGACATTTTCTTAGTTCCCTGAAGTTTGTTCCTTTTACTATCCTTGGATGCAGTCATAACTTCCAAGGCAATTTATAAATATTTATTTGTTACATTCTCTTGTGTGATATTGCTTATGGTGGCTTTTTTCTTTCTTCCCTACAGATCCTGCTGTGAATTATAAAGATCTCCTAGCTGTAGTGTATCTGGCTCATAGATCAGATATAAACATGAGAGTGATTATCTGTAGAAAGGTAAATTTCTTCTTTAGAACTGGAGTACTGTCCTTCAAGCCTATAAACTGTACAGTGTAATAACTAAATTATTTCTTTAAAACACAGTGGCAGTATTTGTTGTTACTGGTTTTTTTAGCAATGATTTCTTTTAAAAATTAGACCCATCTGTCACTTACTGTTGTATTTTGTGTACTCAAGTACTTTAAAAAGCCAAAACAAAAAGTGAAGCCTCTATCATGGTTCTCAAATAGCTTGTATTTTCTACAGGTTTGAGGTAGTAGGCTCCTTGAATTACTGAGTTTTCTCAAAGCTTGTATCACTGGAATTAGTACTGAGTGATAGCTGTGAGACATCATACAGTCTGTTAAGGTTTCCCAAAATGAAGAAGTGAAACTATAATGTATGCTATCAATAAGCTATTAATACTGTAATTTTATTAATAGTTCCTAATCAAGCATGTTTTCTATTAGAGAATTTTTTTTAGACTGTGGGGGAATGGAATTATTTATTGATATAACTGACATTTGGAGGAATTGTTGCAGAAGACTTGCTGAAATATGGCGACTTACCAATATGGTTTTACAGCTTTTCTCTTGAGAATTTTTTACTTTTTTTTCTTTTTTATCAACAATATTTTTTTTATGAGACAAAATTACTTTGTGGCTGGTTTGCTTATTATTAGCTGATTGTGACTCTTTATATAAGGTTGTAAGAAAAGTAAAGAAATTTAAAGATTGTAAAATGTTTAATTGAAAAGCCAGATGGATGCAGTTACAAGCTAAAATTAATGTGTAGATATGGGATATCTTCTATTCCTTAGATTTTGCACCTTTTGCATTCCCAATTGGATGCAGCACAACAGATTTCTCAGCAGCTGGGCTGGCAGGACACTTTGGTTAGACTGTTCCTGAAGGAGAACTCAGAGGTCCGGATTGGCTTTAAGGAGAACAGGACTGATTCCTCCAGGGAAGAGGATAAAAAGCCTCCTACTGAAGAGCTACAGAAACATCAAGCTGATAAAACAGAGAGAGATAAAGCTGGCAGCTTTGCATCAGTTAATGGTCTCTTTGATCAGTGGAGTTTAGAAGACAACAAATCCCTGGATGTCCCTGCCCATTTCTCTGTTATGCCACTGGAAGATGCATCCACAGCAGAGATGTCTTTCGGTTCGGAGGGCCGAGAAGGGCTGTGGCACAGTAATCCTTCACATTTGAGTTTGGATTTGTCCAGTGTTGACTCTTATGAACTGGCTGATGTTGGGAATCAGATGACAGACAGCCAGCCCAGCACTCCCTCACCCACAGAGAGCACAAAGCCCTTCTCTGGGCAGCCTGACAGAGAGCTGGGTGTTACAAATGATGTGGGCTTCGCTGCTGAGCTTTCTCTCTTTGAAAACCAAGGAGTAAGTAACTATGGGACTGGTTTCTCCGACTGTTGGAAATTTCATTTTGTTCTTTCAATCTCCCTAATGAATCATTATTACTTTTTTTTGTCCCTCCTATCATTCAACAGGAAAGTGAACAAAATGGCTCTTTTATAGTGAATAGGAGTACTTCCTTTTGTAATGTGTCTTCTTTTTTGAGTGTCCACTTGGGGTAGCTTTGGTGTTTAAAAAAAAAAAAGAACAAAAAAGCAAATAAATAAGGCCGACCTCCCAACCACAAGAAACCGCAAAAAATCCCTGCAAACTCTACTCCCTCTATATTTAAACATCCTTTATCATCCAGAGGAGGTGTGCAGCAGACTTGCTGTGAAAAAATCTAGGGTGGTTAAAAGGCAGCTTGTTTTACATCATAGAAGCAAGCTACAGTCTCTTATATTTGTGTTTTCCTGAGCTTTTCAATTGGACTTTGGAGTCCATTTGAAGACTGCAAAGTTTCAAATGTTGAAACATGCAAGCATAAGGGCTGTGATGAATTAGAAATGTTTTGAAGGTTTTCTATACTAGAAGGGCTTTAAATATTTAACTTCTTTTGTAGGGGAGTGATAATGAACTCATACAGTTACTCACAGACATCCTACTGTGTATAATGTGGAAAGGTATTGAAAAATCTGATGATGATGCTTGGATTGAGAGAGGACAGGTGTTCTCTGCTCTCACCAAACTGGGGATGTCTAACGAGTTGCTGCGGCCTTCTGATGAAATAAAACTCAAGTGAGTGTACAGTTCATCCCTTCTGAGGATAAACAGAAGTGAGGGGCATGAGTGAAGGTGGGAAGGGGTGGGTGGTTCCCAACAAGATGTACTTTTCTCTGCTGTCTCTTCACATACTGTCAGAAATATATTCCTGGACCTGTTTAGGAGGTGGGTCTTGAGGCCAGAAGGTTTTAAAACTATCACTGTTTTCATGAGTCTCTCAATCGCTTTTATCTCATTGGCTTATCAAGAAGATGGCAGTTATGTAACTGCAGACTAAGAGATTCAATTAAATACTTAATTGGATTTTTTTAAAGCCACTTACACTCAGAACATGTAATACTTACTTGGGGATTTTGTTTTCCATGCAGCTTGCTGGAGAAGATGTTAGAATGGTCAGTCACTGATAACAGAGATTCAAAAGCTCTCCCTACACATGCTGAAAATGCCTTCAAGCTCTTGCTAATTGTACAAGGTTTCCTGCAGGCAGAAGGACTAATTAATTCAAATTTATGGACAGAAAAGGTACAGTAACTGCATAATGGAAGTATGGGCTGAAATGGTAACAAGAAAGTTGTTGGTTTGGATACTGTCACCCTTCTAGTCATATTAAACCATAGATATTACAGAGTAAGGATTTATAGTAGAATGGATTAGAGTGCCCCTTCATGAATAAGAAATGTGAATATTTACCACAGGGAATATAGTAAATTATGCAAATTAAGTAGGCATGTAAGTAGTACTCTTTACTGAGAATCCAGGTTTCTTCAGACTGGAGAAATATTTGGAAAATGTAAAAGCTAGTGGAATAGCAGCAGTTGTAGCCTGAGCAGATTTTGCACTGTTTATCAGCATTTATGACTCTCTGAGCATCCTGAATGAAAGACCAGCTAAAACTCTGCTTTTGGTTGCAAGTTGGGAAATGTCACTTCTGGGTTTTGACCCATATTGTAGTTTCAACAGATAAATTATATCTCAGCATTTATGTAATCTCTGACACTGGTCATGCTTCCTTCACAGTCTGAGTTGTCATTGCTTTTCAGTTTTTCTAAGCAAAAAAAGAGAGATTATCTGGAAACCATCATTATTTCTCTAGAAATCCTTTAAAAATATTTTGTAAGACTACTTTCTTTAAGAAAAAAGTAAAATGTCAAGAGCCATTAACACACAATTCCAATGCTGTGTTAGAGAGTATATCAAGGTGTATTAGTTTTAAACAAACACATCTGGATAGTGAAATATGGCATTTGCCTTGGGAGTACCCACCTTTCACAAGGCTTGTGTCACTTTTGCTATCTAAATACTGACAGAAAGAATGCCTCCTAAAGTGGGGTCTTCTAAATTTTCTAAGGATATGGCATTTACTGGAGTTAATTTATAGGAAAAGCAATAAGCATATATATACTCTCACTCCCTGTACACACACACACAGATATATATATATATATATATGCACTTTATTTAGGGGAAATACTTGACTTAACATACTGGGCTAGGTAGTTTTTTGTTGTCGGGAATTTCTTTAAATTACTGGTTTAAGTGTAGTGTTCTTGGATGATTTTCTGGGTTTGGTTAAGTTACAAATAAACACAGCCTCTTTTTCAGCTCTTTGAAATTACTATGTCTCCACTAGAGTAATTATTGTTACTTTTATTCCAGTTCATTTTATTTATTTTAATGTTATGCTTATTTTCTGTTTCTGTAATAGCTGTTGGAAGAACTAGTGACTCTCATGGATAGTCTGTCAGTCTGGTACTCTGCTGGCTTAGAGGCAATTAGGCTTTCACAGGTGCAAGTCCAGCTGCTCCTTGGATTTATTGCACAAGACAACTTACAGGTTTGTTGCAAATTCTTGCAAGTGGTGCTTGAGTTTTAAGGGCACATTTGATGTAACTGTTGTGGTTTTTGGGAGTGCTGCTCACACCAGAGAGCAGACCTGTGGCAGTCCCTCATCCTTCTCTTGGGAAGATGTTTTATTGGCTCTTAGCTTTTGCAGGTTTACTCTACAGTCCTGTCAGTGTGTGCCTGTGGAGCACAAGGAAGAGGTAGAGGGCTTCTGTTTGGGGATGGGAATATGCAGGCAGAAGTGGCAGGAAAAAGATGGGTGCTCAAGGAAGATCACATTCATTTTTTGCTGTTTGTTTTTGTAGGTCTGTGCTATGGCAGCAGCCAAACTAAACACCCTCCTTCAGACCAAAGTAATTGAGAGCCAGCCTGAGGCATGCTACCTCCTGGGGAAGTTGGAAGGCATTTTGAGTAGGTCAATTGAAGAGAAGACAGAAACATACTCATTTTTGATTCCTCTGGTTCGGACATTGGTATCCAAGGTTTATGAACTTCTCTTTATGAACCTGCACCTTCCTTCACTGCCTCCTACCAATGGCAGCCCATCGTTCTTTGAGGACTTTCAAGAATACTGCAGATCTGATGAGTGGCAAGTTTATATTGACAAATATGTAAGTAGTAAATTCTTTTTGTATCGTTTCCTCCCTCTTTTCAGCCATGAAAGCAGAGGAACCCATTCAGAAATCACATGGTACTTTTTATTTTGTTTTGATGGAACCAGATTATTCCAAATATGAAGCAATATGAAGAGAATTCATTCAGACATGATAATGAGCAAATGGCACTTTATTGGAAAGATTGTTATGAAGCTTTTATGGTGAACATGCACAAGCGAGACCGAGAAAGAGGAGAAAGTAAGCTTAAATTTCAGGTAAGGTTTTCAGTGAGTGTGAGGTTCTCTTAAAAGAACTCTCTTGAGAGCTGCTGTCTAAAAGATGGAGAAAACGAATTTCGGGATGATCCAGTTGAATAACTGTAAACAGGTTAATTTAATTAAGATTTGATGGGCAGTGGAACTATATTCCCTTCTAGGATATACTTACTAATTCTGCTCTGTCTATTAACAGTCTTACATGCAATCAAAGTGATTTCAGTACAGTAGGCCTTCCTTTTCATCAGCAAGGTAGAGATATGCTCACCCATAAGCTGCATCCTCTTTGATTTGTGTTTTGAATTATTAAAACCTGATTTCCATTATGAGCTGGTTTTTGGGTTATTTTTTTAAACCCTATTTCAATACAGTTAAAGGATTTACAGCAGTGAACGGTTCTTCTTTAATGTGGAAAAATTGCTTTCCTGTATAAGGTCCAGATTGAGTTTTAGCATTAGAATTAACAGGTAATTATAGGCAATAACATAGTGAAGTTACATATCTCTTTGCTTTTTTAATAACAAAACTTGTAGGTCTATTTTATTCAAATAGCTAAAGGAAAAATACAATGCAAGTCACATTCAAGAATGCCAGAATTTAGGAAAAATCCTACCTATTATAGTAGGGTTTCTAATACTGACTGCTTTTCTGATGATGAAAAATTACTTTATGGTGGATTCAGCATTGATAATGCTTTCTTCACATCTTTAAAGTCTGGCATTATTTCTTCTAGGTCTAAGCTTTCAAAAATTTCTCTCCTAAGTATTTTATTACCTTAAAATTTCAGAATGTTTTATCGCTAAACTTTTTCCACTTCTTGTTTTCTGAGAATTCTTGGGAAGCTGTTTTCCAAGGTCAGAGGTAACTGAGTGCTGGATCTATTTGCACTGGTGTTTCAGGAGCACTTTGTGGAGCCGTTCCGCAGGAAGGCTCGGCAGGAGAACCTGCGCTACAACAGCATGCTCAAACAGCTGAGCAGCCAGCACACAGCCACGCTGAGGCAGTGGAGAGCAGCCCAGCTGTACTTGTTCTCTGAGCGTGGGCCTTGGGCTGAAAGGTGAGACTGGGCTTCTTAAACTGGGTATCATTCTTAAAAGGGATTTGCTCACTGTTTCGTGTGGTTAAAACCAGGTAAGATTGACTGCAGTAATCGTGCTTGAGGTGTACAGTCTTGAGTGACAGGACAAGGGGAAATGCCTCAAGTCGTGCCAGGAAATGTTCTTATCAGAAGGTAGTTTTGGGGTGATTGCAGTGATGGTAGTTTGTCAGTTGGACTTAATGCTCTTGAGCATCTCTTCCAACCTTGCTAATTCTGTGAAAATAAATACTGTTTACAGAATAAAGAGTGATGTTCAGCACTGCAATGTGAAACAAAAGCAATAAACTGCATTTTAATCTTTTATTTTTTACAATGTACAAGTTAATGACCAGTATTTTTCTAAATATGCACTCTTTTGTAATCACTTCTTTCCTGTAGGTCTTTATTCAGATTTTTTAATGAATTTTCTTGTTTGCCTAGGAAACAGCGTCCTGTTCACTGGAAACTTTCAAATGTGGAAAATTTTTCACGTATGAGACTAAAACTAGTGCAGAATTACAACTTCAACTCTCATCAGGATGCTAGTGACCTGAGAGATAATTTAGGTATAAAGTGGTATTTGCTATCTCACTTGAGTTCTTACCAAAGAAAGATACTCACTTTCCTCTTTGTGTTTAATAAGCAGTATATGCTTATATACTTAAATCTTGATTTTTCTTTATTTCATCTGTAGTAAAATCTATTTTATGAGAGTGATTCTTTGACCTTAAACAACATTTTCCTACTGAGTAGAATTCTTTTGCCCTGGTTCATTGAAATGTGGGGTTTTGTTGAGCAATAAATAAAAGTCAACTCCTTTGTTTTAAAATAAGAAGTCGTACAACTTTCTTGTATGAGATTATTTCTTCAAAAAATACACAAAAAGATTACAGTAAGCAGTGTTTGTTCAAAGTCTTTTAGAATTTTTGGCTAAAATGTGTAGATTGGAAGTGCTTTGCTTCAGAAGTGTGCCAAACAGCTGAGTTAGGTGTAACTGTTAAGTTTGATGTATTGGATATCAAGGCTCAAGCAAAAAAACCTCCACAAAACACTCTTGTAAACCCACGTAACCAAAAAACAAATGCAGTGTATTTCTACTAAATCTGCATGCTTTAGCAATGTCTGGAAAAACATTGCAAAATATTTTATTGTAAGTTTCTACATCAGAATTCAAGTTAAATTTTTGTTGTCATAATTTTCAGTGTAGCTCAAGGACTGTTTGTAGTGTTCTGCTTAACCACAAAAATATATAAGAAACCTGCTTGCTTCTTACTTGGCTACAACCAAAATTCAACTGTAGAAGACAGGTTTAGTAGGTTAGATTTCCAAAAGCATTGTAGCAGAAAAAGTTATGAGCTGTTATGTCTATTTATGCTAGGTGTGCACCAGACACAGCCCTCTAGTGAGTCTCTGCTTCTGGAGGTGGTGAAGCAGGTGAAAGTGAGTGACTTGGAAGATGATGTTCTGGAACTACCAGAAGAAGACACAACAGCCAGTTCCGATTTGTAAGTAGAACAGGATAAGCAATTATAATTTGTTTCTGTGCTAGGGATACGGAACAAGAAACAACTTTGGGAGTTGAATAGCATCCAGTTTCCCTCTTTCTTTGTCTGGCTTTAACAATTCAATCCAGGGCAGTTTTGATCAGAAAAGTTACTGTTGGACTGTTGGATTTATCCTTGTTACCACTGAGACAAGAAAAGCCCCAGGGAGAAGGAGGCAGAGCAGATGTTTATGAGAATCCATTAGTGATTCACTGCTCACAGGTGGGCTGAAGCTATGGAATTGTTAATGCTTCTCTACTGTGTATATTGGCTGTAATTCTCAGGAGGCAATCTGCTGTGTGAGGACATGGACCAGACTGGAACTGCCTCTTGTCCATAGTTGCCATGTCGTTCACTCCATTGTCAGCTGCATAGCATGAAAATTGGTGCGGTTGGCATTTAAGTGCTGGAGTGCCTTGTGTTTAACAGCATTCCAGAGGGAAGGCTGTGCTTCCTTCATGTCAGTTGTGTGACTGCAACCAAAATAAAGGCAGGAGAGAGAGAGTAGGGAAAGGGGAGTTGAGGTAGGATAGCAAATGCTTTGCTTTGCTTCAGTAATTGGACATGTCACGTTGTGCATGCATCTGTGTTTGTGTTATTAAGTCCAGTAGGTAGTTGGCACTCTGAATGGTACTGATACATTTTGTATTTTAAAGGTTATTAAATGCTTGCTGTAGATTATAGCAAAATAACCCTGGAGATAACTTCAGTCACATGAACTGGAACTCAGCTCTGCTCTGGGCCAGAGAGCTTAAGCCCCTAACAATTAAATAAAGTAGGGAAATGCAGCCTGATGTTTTTGTACTTCACGTGAAGTCAAGTCCACTGTGCCCAAGACCAAAATATCAAGACTGAAGAGTGATGCTGTGAAATGCTGTTTGTGGTCTAGCCTGAAACACCCATGACTGCTGATATAAGCAGCTTTATAGAATTGTTTATGCTGCAGTTTCAATGCCATTTAAATTTGATTATTTTCTGAGCTGTGCTTTTACCAAGGATCTAAGTAACAGTATAATCTACCCAACCCTGTAACACTTAGTGGTGTTTTTGCAGGGATGAGAAGGATGAGGAAAGTCAGAAAGAAAAGCTAATATTGTCTGAAGACTGTGAACTCATTACAGTAATTGATGTGATACCGGGCAGGCTGGAGGTCACTACCCAGCACATCTATTTCTTTGATGGCAGCATTGAGAAAGAGGAAGGTAAGCATGACCAATATCTCTTTATTTTCAGTGTAGTTCGGCATACTGCTTTTCATAGGCTGAGTTTGTTTTGAAAATGAATGTCAAAGTAATTGTAAAGAGACAAGTTGTTGGTCTGTACTTAAAATTAATATTGCACTTGATGGTTAGTGGCTGACTGATCCCTTCAGAATCAAGAATCAAGAACTGTAATTTCTGAGCTGGTAAATTGATTAACTATTCTTAATATTTCTTAAAAATAACTTATTAAAAAAAAATTAATACCTCTAATTTGCTTTGTAAATTGCACTGCTCTGTTCTCTTTCTACAACAAATATTGTTGTACTCATGCATTGATTAAAAAGCAGTAGTATGTAAGCATTAATCATGCATATTAATTTAGGGAACTTTAATAGAATATACACAACTGACTATGAAAACACGGGAGTAAAATTTTGGACAAATAATAGTAAAATTTTCCATATCAGTATACTGAAACATTCAGCCTTTGTTTGAACCTGTTGAAGAAAGCAAAGGGGTTGGTTCATACTTTTTGTCAACAGAATACATTTATAATATGTCTTTAATCAGAAAGCAAATGTATTCTACATTCCATCAGGTATTTCTTGCTTCATTTCTTTCAGCACAACAATATCTGAAGTTAATATTTTCCTAGCAAAATGGTTAATCACATCAGCTACAAGACTCTCCTTTTCTAGGAATAACTCTGAGGTGATTGAAGCTGGTGTCTGTATGCACTGTGTCTGTATGAAAAGGGTTTTTTTCGTGTGTATTCCAACTCAGTAAACAGAGTGTTCCTCCTAGGGGTAGGTTTTGATTTCAAATGGCACCTTTCTCAAATCCGAGAGATCCATTTGCGTCGGTACAACCTGAGGAGGTCAGCTTTGGAGATCTTCCTTACGGATCAAACCAACTACTTCCTCAACTTCAATAAGGAGGTATGGCTTTCCTAAATGTCATGGATTCATGTAAGAAGCACAAGGATAGGTTTAAGATCAGTGATTGAATTTGAGTCTGGTGCCTTTCTTAATACCGTAACACTAATAGCAAACTGTTTGCTTTACATCGTCATCAAACTACTCTGCAGTCTGGCACCTAGAAACTGATTAATTGTGAAAAGATAAAACAAGATTCTCCTTTTTTCTTTCTCTCTCTCTCTGTTATACAAAATGATTATTTAACTAAAATCACATCAATAGTAATCTAAATGTCTTGAAGCCCATCTTTTTAAAGATTGAACAAATTAATTGCAAATGAAAGGAGACTTTATTTTTAACTACAACATTAGAAATCATTGATATTCGGTGGTTAAAGAGTAGTGAACTTTTCTGCCCTCTGGGTAATACCAATGATCCTTTTTATGAGGAACTATGATAAATTTCAGGACTTAGGGTGAGTTACATACTAGTAGGTCAGTGTAGTAGTAGGTCAGCTCTTAGAAAATGTTGTGTGGTTTGGTTTTGATGTGAAGGATGTCACATCCATCCATGTCCAAACGTTTTAAATAGCAGGAGATCGAAGTACTTGAAAGTGTAACTGTGTCCTAATTATTTCATATTTTAATTAGGAGACAAATTGCTTGATTGTCAGCTTCAATCTCCAGAATATTCTTTTATTAGTGCTGTTTCTGACAGGTACGAAACAAAGTGTATAGTCGGATACTGTCGCTGCGCTCTCCAAACATTTCTGGGACCAGATCTCCACAGGAGCTTTTCAAAGCATCGGGTTTGATGCAGGTATGAGACCTCAGCTCAATGGTCTAAAGAGTTCCTCTGCCTTTTGAAGGACACCCTCAGTGTTTAGATGGCAGCTGCCAATTTCTACCCTCAGCCTGGCCCCTGAACTTCCACGTGCATAATTTTAGGATGGCTTGGTTTGTGTTTACAGTCAGGTAAATTATTATAGCCAGCTCTGGTGATGTGATTGACAGGCATTTTAACATGAACATAAAATGTGGCAGATTGACTTCTGGTTTTAGTCTATGATCTTGAGTGCTGTTTTGAAACTTCTTTCATTGGATGTGCAAATAATTTTCCCTGCTATCTTTTCATGATGGAGCTTTCGACAAAACTCACATGAAGATTAAGTGGGAATTATTAATATTGGTAATAACCGAAAACACAGATAAATTTTTAAATATAGTAAATGTATTTTTATCTTCCATCTCTTTATGCCAAAATTGTTTTCTCTGAGGGAGGAGGCTTTACAAATAAGTTTAAGATATTGGAAATACTTTGATTGTTCTTTGTTTTCTTGACAATAAAAACTATTGAGTTGTATATTTACACAGAAAATATATCATCTGTCATGACACATCTCCATCACTCTACAGACAAATACTGAGCCCTTCTGAACACAGCTCTGTCTGTTCTTTGATTTAGAACGTAATAATGGAGCAAACAAAGGTGCACAGACAATTTGGTTTACAAATTGTTAACCTGTACTGTTAACCAATGGGAGAATAATTTATAAATAAGTCTTGATCTTAGCACTCAGATGGATTTCAAAGTTCTCTTCTCCTTTTTATCAGTACCTGCATACTTGCCTTCTTTTTGTTTTTCTTACTTCCTATTTTTCTTTTCGTTTGTAGCAAGGTTGCTAATTGTCTGCTGCTCTGTGTTTGACACAGTACTGTCACCAATCAGGACCTGATTTCAATGAAGTATAGATAGCACAATCACTGAATCAAAGGGAAAATAAACTTCATTATGGGAAATTGTATCTAGACTTGCATACAATTTTTGTGGTCTTGTACTTTTCACTTGCCAGTGCTATCCTCTGGCATATAGATACTGACAAGATGTGTAATTTGCAATAAATATATCTTTGATATAGTGAATTCCATTTAATCTTTCTTTGTCTTTCAGAAATGGGTGAATAGAGAAATATCCAACTTTGATTACCTTATTCAGCTAAACACTATGGCTGGACGAACTTACAATGACCTTGCTCAATATCCTGTGGTAATTAAAAAGCTAATTTTTAAATTTTTGCCAAAGGTATGTGTTTCTTCTGGTTTGAAAGATGTATTTTTAATCTCTGTCTGATATTTGACTTAATTTTTTTTTTAGTTTCCCTGGATTTTACGAGATTACACCTCAGAAGAACTGGACCTGAATAATCCTGCAGTATTTAGGGACCTGTCCAAACCTATAGGTGTGGTTAATGAGAAGAATGCTAAGACTGTGAAAGAGAAGTATGTATTTGAACACTTGCTTATATTTCTTTGTCTTTTCTGAGCCTCCAGGCTAATAACACATTTAGAAAATAAAATAGTGACAGTGAAATTTTTGAAGCTGGTTTTATGACATAACAGATGCCCTTGCAAATGTAATTGGTTGGTTGTTCCTGCTGCATACAGACTACATTATATAGCACTCAGTTATATGGCAGTGAAAGGACAAAACTTACTGTTGTAAATTTTCAGTTATTTCTCAGTTGTGGAGATGAAAAACTGAAAGATTGTAGAAACAATTTAATGGCTTGAAAAGTGTGTCCCATATCTGCTACAAGATAGGGAATGTGAAATGATACTGCTGAGTTGAGCTGCCTAAGAGGTAGCATTGAGCCTAAATCTGTGCTTCCTCTTTTTTTCAAGCATAGATTATTATCTTCAAAATAAAATAGGTCTCAAGTGACTTTCAGCAAGTCCTCTGTAGGTGCCAATGACAGGTACTTACACCCACCCAGCAGTACAGTGGTTTTCCCCTTGTTTGCTAGTCTGGAGAGTGAGTGTGCTGTCATACCAGACTGCAGCCAGGTGTCTTCCAAAATCTTCTGAAAACTTGGAACATGGAGAATTTCCTTTGGATTACTGGGTTCTGTCCTGATTGTAATGAAGTGGATTCTCCAGAAGTATGTTCAACTAGAATTTCTCTTACCAGCCTTGTGAGGCTGAGGAATGTATCAGCCAGATGGTGGCACGGTAGAGTGAGTTTGCCAGTAGAAAAGGAAATGGGCATGAGTGTGAAAAAGATCTCTCTCCTGCATCCTGCACAGTTAAACACATTTCCTAAATCTTGCAGGAAGCCATCACAAGTCTATTCACTAGTAAATATTCATTTTAGTGGTGGGGGGTGTGTTGGTTTGTTGTATAAAGTCATCAGTCTTGTCTGCCCTTTATCTGGTGTCTGACAGCTGATAGCAAATGCCTAGGGAAGAGTATAACAGGCATGCAAAGGCTTCATCTGGTGTACATTTTTATCTTTCAGCAGTCTTTCCTTAGGGACTTGCTAAGTAAGATTTGGAATCTTCATGTTTGATGGCACTCAATGTATTTTTCCTCTCATAGATTGCTGTGGTAATTTCTTTCGAATCTTTGCCTTGAATAAGCATAACCCACATGTAAATCAACCATAATGCTCAGTTGTATTTATAAAGATTTATTTTTTCAGATATGAGAATTTTGAGGATCCTCTTGGGATGATTGACAAGTTTCACTATGGGACACACTACTCAAATGCTGCTGGTGTCATGCATTACCTCATTCGGGTGGAGCCTTTCACAACACTCCATATCCAGCTTCAGAGTGGCAGGTATGCTGGGCAGATAAGCAGCCCCCTCCTGCTGCTTCCTTGTCATTTTACTGAGGGAATTGTCAAAGTCTAACCTGGATTTTCTGATCCACAGATTTGACTGTGCTGACAGACAGTTCCACTCTATTCCTGCTACCTGGCAGGCACTCATGGACAACCCCAATGATGTCAAAGAACTTATCCCAGAGTTCTTCTACTTTCCAGAGTTCCTGGAGAATCAGAATGGTAAGCTGACTGCCAAGACTATTCTCACAAGAAACTGTTTCTGTATTCTTCAGAAAAGAATTGTTACAGCCATTTGTGAATGCTGAGGAACACTTACTATTTAAACCTTATTGTGTGATTGTAGACATTAATCATGGTGCTGGCTTAAACTCTTCAGTGAAGATGCCAGTTGTGTTAAGCAGCAGCCTAAACATAGTTTAAAATTCAGGCTATGGGCTTAAGGATGGCTAAAAATAGTGGTGCTTACCCAATGGAGAGTGTCAGAGATGCTCACTGGGATGTTTGAAAAAGTTAGTAATAGTTAATACTGATTAAATACATAGAAAAAGTTAAAAGATATTAATTATAATTATTATAATGCTGATTAAAAAGACAGTATCCTGCATTCTGACATTAGACTCCTTTTTAAATTCACATTTATTGTTTAGTGATTTGATTCTCTGTCTTTACACAATTTGAAAATGGATTTGTATGTTTTGCTGCTACAATCTACTGGAGTTCTAAATTAGAAAAAATGAGAACTCCCAAGTCACACTTTCAAGTAATTTAAGTGTGTAGAGTTGTTTTAATGATAGCTGGTGAAATTTCAGACTTCTTAAGAGCCTTGATTTTACAACCATTTAAACTTCTAAGTAACTCCCTTCTTATGAATTACCTTATGGAAGTGTTTTGGACTCTTAATTCTGGCAAAGCAAATGCAGATATGTTTACAGATAGATGTGTAAAAGATTAATACTGCTTCTGTGGTTGGGACTTAGCTTCAAAATCAATTAGATGTTTTGGATAATTGTTATCCATTATCATTTAAAATCATAAACATACAGAACAGAACTTAGCCTCCTATGTCAGTGGTAGAGTTATTAGGGATTTACATTTATAACTTTTCAATATCCTTCTGTTGCACTGAGAAAATAATGATTTTTAATCTTTATTGAGAAATCAAGGTACTTGAAATATTTTGTAGTAACTCTGAAACTTTTTTTCTGAATTATTCACCAGGTTTTAACTTAGGCCAGCTTCAAATGTCCAAAGAGGTGGTAAACAATGTTGTTCTGCCTAAGTGGGCCCACTCCCCAGAAGACTTTATTTACAAACATAGGAAGGCTCTGGTAAGATGCTGTTTGTTTGTGTAACATAATCATAAAGGAAGTGCACTTGCAGATTGTTACTAAGGCTTAAATGTAAAACTAGTGGGATGGCATTCAAACTACAGTTGAGGTTACATTTGACATTACAAATGCCATTAGAACTTCCAGTTAAAAGCTCTGTACACGTTGATAAAATGCTGAAAAGAGCATTTAATCTCGTGGGCATTTTGGGCACTAATGATTTGGGCATTTGCTGTCCTAGGAGATAAAATGCAGAGGTAGGTGAGTAGGCTTCCTTTGCTATTTAAAGATGACTCTCTGGTGTTAGGGAGCTGGCAGGTTACCTTCCCTTGCACAGTTGCATTTCAAAAGTGCGTACCTTTTGTGTCACTGTATTGATTTTCCCTCTTACCTGGCAGTTACTGCCCATAGCACACAAGATTCTTATCCCTCTGCCCTATATATTGCTAAATACCTCATTTGTGGATACTCTTAATTTAGGAATTGAATCTTTTCCATAGAGAATAGTAAAAACTTCAAGAGGGAGCAGTTTTTCTCTTATTCTTACAAGAGCACTTTTTTTCCTTCTAGGAATCTGAGTATGTTTCTGCTCATCTTCATGAATGGATAGATTTGATTTTTGGCTACAAGCAGAGGGGACCAGCTGCAGTGGAGGCGCTTAATGTGTTCTATTATTGTACTTATGAAGGTACAAAGCATGTTCTCTTGTCATTGTCATCAGGCTTGTGAGTTTTCATTATTAGACAGTACACACTTGATTTGTGAGTGTACCATTCAGTAGCATATGGTAAGGCAGCAGATTTATAGATGAAATATGGCAGCAAACCTTGTAATGTATCATCAAAAACAAAAGTATAGTTTTTTAAAAGGAGAACTGTTACGATTTTTTGTCTTTTTTTTCCTAAAAGTTACTGGGCTTTCTTGCCACGTATTTACTTGCTTAAATGCATATGTGGGAGGAGATTTCTTGTGGTTTAGAGTTCAGGCACATTGATTGAAAGCAATTAATATTAGAGATAAATTTAATCTGTTAATTTCAAAGCTAAATTTTGGGTGGTTTTTGTGTGTTACTTGTTGCGTGCAATGAGGTAAATGAAATTCATTTGATAAGACAAAGGCCTGCAATTCTTGCTCTGACAGATACACTTAAAATTCCACATGCAGAGTGGAGTTTTCAGATTGTGTTTTAAATGGAGGCATTGTATGGGGCTTTTCTGGGGGTAAAGGGTCATAATGCTGCAAGTAAATTAAGTTGACCACATTGGTTCTTAATAAGTTCTTTGGATTGTGTTCTCTTTTTTTTTCCCTATTCTTCATCATTCTGCTTGTGATCCAGGGGCTGTGGATTTGGATGCTTTAACAGATGAGAAAGAAAGGAAGGCTTTAGAAGGGATGATAAACAATTTTGGGCAAACTCCCTGTCAGCTGTTAAAGGTACTGTTCTTTTGCTCCCTCTCAACCAGACCTTTGTGGTTAAATACAACTGAGTTACAGAGACTTCTGAAAAAAAAAAAAGTGGTTTTTAAGGTAATGGTTTGTAATTTTAGCAACATTAAAACTTTGTCACATTACTAAAGAATCCATTTTCAAAACAAATAAATTTACTTCAAGAAGGGATATTAGGTTTTTAAGACTGTTTTCCCATTAAGAGTCTGAGTATCTCATGTGTATTGAACAAATTGATAAAATAGTCTAATTTGTTACTCCTTCAAATATTGCCTCCTAGGAGCCCCATCCACAAAGGCTGTCAGCAGAAGAGGTAGTACAAAGACTAACTAAAAGTGATACCTCTACTCTGAATCTCTTCCAACACCTCACTGAGCTGAAGTCATTCTTCATAGAGGTAGATGTGTTACTTGAAATTGTTTGAAGTCTAACCTGAAATTTGATGTACTTGGAACAAAAGGTCACAACCTGGATGAAAACAAACTTGCTTCCTATTTAGAAAGGATATTTTACAATGCAATGTGTATTGAATGAGCTCTGTCTTTTTAGTTGGCTTCCTAGATGTTGAATCCCATAATCTGCTGGCTGCTTGTGTGGGTGTTGAGTATTAAACTAGTCACCACACCAAGAAAGCTGCAAGCCTCACTGGTGGTGTGTGAGGAATCACTGAAGTTGGTAGTTAAAGTCCCTGATTGGGGTCAGGGTTTCATTTGCAGTGTTTGTGATGAAGCTTACCTGCACAAACTGAATGGGTGTGGGCCAGTCCATTAGGGTGCTCTACACATCTGACACTGATTCCAGAGCTTTGCATCTTACTCTTTACAGGTTCTAGATTTATCCTTTAGCTTTTGGATATAATCAGATCAAACCCATGTCCTTTCTCTTAGGGAATTAGTGATGGTGTGCCCATTGTCAAAGCTGTTGTCCCCAGGAATCAGTCACGCTCCTTTATCTCTCAGGGAAGCCCAGAGATCTTGGTGAGTTGCATGTGTCAATACTGTTCTTAAACTACAGATAGTCAAATGGCTGTATTTTTTTATGCAGCTTGTAGAGAAATATCTTAACTGTTCCTCTTCAAATGTGTTCCTTTAACCTGAAGCAACTGTCAGTTAAGTTAAATATTTATCTTCCAAGGAGAAGCCAGGCTGATTTGTTGAATGGCATTTAAGAGCTGATGAGATATGACTGTAAATTATAGTGAGGCATATTGTGAGTTGACACTTGATCAACTTCCCTGCAACAACCAATTTGCTAATGCAGTGCAGCCCAGATTTAAATTACAGCATTGAGTTATTAATGGTGTCATTGTTTGTCATTGCTTTCCAGCCCGTATGTTAACGGGTGCATGCACATTCCAAAGGCCTGCACTGTTTCTAAAACTAGCTCTTGCACTAACACACATTCTTGTACTGTGGCAGATACCAAATAATGAAAGGAGAACAGTGGTTTTGTGTCTGCATCTGTATATATGGCCTAGACACTGGCCCCAGTGCAACAATACCTCTGTTTTGCAGGAAAGAATATTCCAGTATTCCTATTTTGTATGTCAAAGTTATTGTCTTGGCTTAATTGAGCTACATTCATAGGTTATTTGAGCACATCTAAAATTCTCCTTTGATTAGATATGAAAAACATATCTAATCAAAGTAACCTTGAATATTTAGATTCCTTTGTTACTTCCTCAGAAATTAAACTGTAGTACAATGTTTGTTAAACTTCTTCTGTTAATATGTTTACTATTAACAGTTAGTATTCAGAAAAGAGAAGAAACAGCAGCTTAAACTAAATGACTGATTTGTAATTAAATATTTGAGAGGGGTTGGTTGACTGGGGTTTTTAGTGTTTGTCTCCTCCCATCCTTCCTACCCCAACTTCTCTGACCTATGTAGAACATGTACTATTCTAATATTGTTCTATGTACCACATGTGGATTAACTCAGAGGGATTTTTTAATTGATTTATTTGTTCAGGGAGAGGTGCATGTGCTTTTTCCTTTGTGGTAGGTTTTCAAGAAGCCTCTGCTGGACTTTATGCAAGCTCCATTAGCATTGAGGCAAGCAGAAAGCAAACCTCTGCGTTTCATCAACTTTTTCATTAAACCTTTTTAGGTAACAACAAGTCTGAACTGTGTTATTGGAACTCATGGTTGGCTGCCTTATGACAAAAATATTTCCAACTATTTTACATTCATCAAAGATACAACAGTGACAAATCCCAAGTAAGCAAATTTTGAGGGGGGGTACAGATGAATGCATTTAAAATAAGGAAGTACAATAATTGTTGAAAATCAGTGAAAATACTGTTTTCACTGTCTGGGTTTTCACCAAAGAATGCATCTTCTGGTATTCAGCAATATTACCTCTAATCTATAATAGCATTCTAGTACAGTTATGTAAGTGGTATTTCAGGCTTCATTCTTAGAGCTACTTCTAATTTTTTCTAATTATCAATCACAAAAACTCATTGTGTAATCTGAGATAGTCTTCATACATTCTTATGCTGTAGTAATACATAGGCATATATGGCATATTTGGATTTTTTGGTTTTAGAAAATTCCTTTTTTGTCTTTAATGTTATAATGCTTAGTAGGGACATGAGTTATCCAATTGTGTAAAAGGCTGAAAAAAAACTAAGATGAAATCTTGCTTCCAGTCACTGGTGGCAGTGCGAGTTTTACCATGGAGGTAGCCTCTAATATAGCTGGAATTCATTAGTGATATTTAAAGACAGAGGAAGTACAAGGTACATGGATGTGAACCAAGGTTGCTGCTAACTGCTGTCGTTTGCCTGCAGAACACAGCGCAGCATGAGTGGCCCTTTTGCCCCAGGGCTGGAGATCACCTCCAAGCTGTTCGCAGTGTCCCATGACGCAAAGCTGCTCTTCAGTGGCGGACACTGGGACAACAGCATCCGAGTGACGTCCCTTACCAAAGGCAAACTGATGGGACAGCACATCAGGCACATGGGTCAGTCACTCTGTTTTGGGAAATGGAAAGGGTTATGTGTGTTATTTGGTGGTCCCAGAATATAGCCACGTCCCCTGGGCACTCAAGTGTAGCAGCTGTAAAGGAATGGCAGCATAAGAACAGAGGAATGCTTGAATTTGGATTATACATAAATACTTGAGCATGGCTTTTCAGTCATTGGACTGGTGCTTTCATGTAGTTTCAAAATAAGGCTTGCTTGCTGTTTTTAGGTAGCAAAGCTGAATGTGTAAAGTGGGTACATTTGGCTGTATGATGATGTCATTGTTGAATAATGTCACCAGCCCTTATCACAGTAGAGTATTTCATGCTGACTGCAAATCAGGATACAGTGTAACAAATTGTATCTACATTGTCAGTCTGAGGGAAATTAGTCTTAATTACCCATGTGAACACTTTGTCTTCTTTTCTTTATGTAGATATTGTGACCTGCTTGGCAATAGACCACTGTGGAATTCATTTAATTTCAGGCTCCAGAGATACTACCTGTATGATATGGCAGATTGTTCACCAGGTGGGTTATTTAGGCATACTCAGAAGCAGTTCCTGGATGTAGTTTTTCCCTCTGTTTTGTTATTATGTTTTATTGATTTCTTTTCAGGTTTGTAGGGAAGATAATGCACTTCAGCTATATAGTAACTGATATGTATAGTACTTCAGAAAAGACAATGGGAGTAAAATTACTAAGCTAATTGATTTTAGTGCACTATTTTAGAGGCTCTCTTAAAGATTTCATAGATTATTTTCAGGGCAGGCAAATAAGAATTTTACATTTCTAGGCAGTTCTTCTCTCCTAGTGGTTGCATTTTAGCACTGCCTTTTCTCTGTGGTGGGTATTTATAACTACAGCAAAGACAACACTGTCTGTTTCCTGCGTTTGCACTGGCATTTGAGAATTCTTCAATACTGGTCTCATGCTTTCACACAGTGAATGTAGTTGTGTGATCCACATGTGTACTTACACTCAACCATGATTTCCATCATTAAGCATTTAAATGCTGATTTCTGATTGCTGCATTTAAGATATACAAGTAGGATTACTTGCTGGGGGAAGCTGTCATGTTTTGGACAGTAGATTTCATCAAGTCACCTTGTGCTTATCATGGAACTGAAGTCAGCAGTAGAGTGATGAATAATTGCATGTGCTTTTGTGGAAGCTGTCTTTATGGTTGGGGTATTTATAATTTTTGTAGTAACAGTGCATGGTCAAAAAAAGTAAGACTTTAGTGCTCATATGAGTTGCTTTTTGTCTCAAGTGGGGATAAATGTTGGAGATTTTTTTTTTATCTTTTCATGGTGAGTTAACTCACACTCTGGAAATGATCTTTATTTAGAAGTGCTTTTTCTGAAGATTTTAAATGTATTTTTTGTTAAAAGATATATAAATCCTATTTTATGCATAGTAAATGTTTCTTGTGAGACTTTTATCTTAGTCTTTACAAAGTGGCAGCAATGGACTGCATACTGGCATTTCCATTCTACTTGTCTTCTCTGCAGTGACACCTTCTGTATTTTGATACTTGTTCTGTATTCCTGCATGCTTCAGGCTTTCAGGGCCTAATTGGCAAACAAATTTTTATCACAGAAATTAAAATAAATAGTTCTCTGTAGAACTATTTACAGTATCTTCTTTCTAAGGACCGTTCGTTCCTTAGAACTGGTTTAAGAATTAGTCTGTATATGCTGACAGTGCCCTCACTGGGACAAAAGCTGTGATACCTGGAGTTACATGGGGACATTGCTATTTTTAATGAGCATTATTCCAAGATTTCCTTTGTGTATTTTACTACTGGTAGTCACTGAGAAGTACTATTTGCTTCCTTTTCCTTGGAAAATAGAAAGAGTTATAAAAGTCAATTTCAGCTTTTTTTAAGCTTGATTGTGAAGATAGTGCTTGATTCCAGGGTAAACTCTTAAGAACTGGACAAGCCCAGATACACAGGTGAAGAATGAGTGTGTGGATGGGGTGTATGAACAACTCTTGTTAGGCCAGCTCACTGTTGTCCTTGCATTCCTGGACACCTGCAGGGGGAGGAGAGAGTGAGCCAAGTAACCTTGTCTCTCACACCCACACAGTAACTACGTGTTCATTCATTCTTGGGATTTCAGTAAGTGAGGTGCTGACAGAGGGTAATACATTGATACTGGAGTGGTGAGTTATGCCTTTGGCTTTGACCTCTGTCAAATATACACCTCACACAACTGGTGCTGAAGATACCAGAAGTTCATTTTTTGTTTGTCCTTCAGCTGCAAGAGAATGTGTCATTGCACTTTTTGTTACTCTCAGGGAGGAGTGCCTGTAGGCCTGGCACCTAAGCCATTACAGATCCTTTATGGGCACACAGATGAGGTTTCGAGTGTTGGCATCAGCACTGAACTGGACATGGCAGTGTCAGGATCCAGGGTAAGCACTTTCCTACTTGTCTATTTTTTTGCCTCTTCTCAACCAAACTCAAATCATATAAGGTGTTTGAAGTTGATTAAGAATAATAGAAAAAAAGTCACTATTTCACAATGTTTTTCTTAAGCCTTCCTTATCAAGAAGATATTTGCCATCCCTTTTGCTGTCTGCTTAAATCTGACTGTCTCAAACTGCAGTGCAGAGCATAGACCTCACCTACTATGTGGTGTTATTCTGCACAGATGAGCTTTAATATGTGTGGATTTTCTTGGAGATTTTAAGCTTCTCATAGCAACAGTGTTCTGATTGTTTCTTCCCTGCTGTGTTAACCCTGAAGGTTCTGTGCCACTTGCTCATGTTATGCCTTATTATACTGCACGGGCAGGCTGCTGAACTCTGGCTTTGTACTCCATGTAATGCCTACTCATAAATGTGACCTGTGAAGTAGCTGATTTGCTGCCTATCCTCCCTCTTGCCCGACTTGTATTTGTTTTTTTCATATGCCTATAGTACCTGGTCTTGAGGGGAAGGCTTCTTAGTGCAGGGTTCCTAATGCTCAGGAGTCCTTATCTCCCACTAAGGATTGAAGTGCATTCAGAGTATTCCCTGTGTCCTGTGTGTGTAAATTCTGAGTGTTGTGATATATCCTGCTGAATATCCACTGCCCTTGACGTGCTTGCTGCAGGATGGCACCGTCATTGTGCGCACCGTACGGAAGGGTCAGTACGTGAGGACTCTGCGGCCCCCGTGTGAGAGTTCTCTCCTGCTGACTGTTCCCAATCTGGCTGTGTCCTGGGAAGGCCATATAGTTGTCCACACCAGCGTGGAAGGAAAGACTACTCTCAAGGTACTTAAGTTTATGGAAAACCTCTGTTTCTGTCACTGAAGATTTTAATCATAAGTGTATCTAACTTTATCTCATTTCCTGTAGTAATGAGGCTTTTTGAGCATGCAGTGTCAATTTCCATATTTTTTTTTAAATTTTGCTGGCCAATTCAAGTGAAATTTGGTTAAAGGTAAATGAATATTGTGCTCCTTTGAGTTTCATAAAAATCTCCAAACATCTGCAAGATGCTCAAGCATGCATTAGTGTGTCTTCCTGGGAGAGCCACTTTGGACTGGAAAACTAGGGGGAGCAAGTTCCACTGTGCACAAAAACAGAGGCTTATAAGGAGAGCAGCAAGTTCTTGGTGCAAGATGCTCAATGCCCACAGGGTTTCTTAGTTTGGGATTGGAGATACAGCTATAAGGTTGTGTCTGTTGAGCGGTGTAGTTGCTTTAATAATGGTAGAGGTGTTGTGATTTCTTTAAACATGGGAGATTTCTTGGAAAACAAATCTCTGATGTAGGCATACTAACTACATTAGGAAGATGGGGAGAGAAGAGATTCAAGGTAATGCCAGGCTGGAAGAACTTAAGATGGTTTTGTTATTTGCTTCTGTAATGCAGCAAGAAGTCATTGGCTTGTCTACAAAATGCTGCTGGATCTAGCTCTGTGGAAATATGCTTGTTTCCTTCTGCTTTTGGATTTGGGAGGGCAAGAGAGTAAGGGGGGTGGTAGCAAGGCTGAGATAAGTGCAATCTTGCTTTCTTTTTTCTTAACAAAAAAATAGGGACCTGTCTATTAAATCCATGGATGATTCCGGGAAATTTAGAATTGATTGAATGGACTACAATGTTACATCAAGAGGTGGCTTCAAAAACTTCGATACAGGCAGGACCTTCCCTCCACACACATTGAGTATAGTCTCACTACTCTTGCATCATTCAACAGGGAGGCTGTTGTCAGCATTATCACCTGTGGGTTGTTGCCAAATTAGTGCCTTTTAATGAGCAAAAGATACAACACTCTTCATCCTCTCAGTCCTCTGTCACATATTTATTTTTGATCTCTTCAGGATAAGAATGCATTACATCTCTATTCTGTCAATGGGAAGTATCTGGGTTCTGAGACTCTGAAGGAGGAAGTGTCTGATCTGTGTGTAACTGGCGAATATATCGTCATGGGCAGCTTGCAGGGATTTCTTTCCATACGGGATCTCTACAGGTAATGTACCAGCATTTGTACTGAGATACAAATATGGAGCCTTAGAGAGAAATGGCTGTGTAATAAACTTTGTTTGGTGCTATAGGTGATAGCTGTTGCTTTTTTTGTGTTCCCAAAAAAAAAAGTTTTGATGGAACTAAGATGTGCAGAAAAATAAAATGATAGGTTGTAACAGATCTCTTTCTTGCCAGACATTTATCCCAATTAAACACCTAGAACTGACAGGAGGAGCTGTCAGTTTGCAAACTGCTGTGATTAGTCACAGGGAGCTCAGCAATTGCAGGATCAAGCCCCACATAGTTCTACACCGAGTTTTAAGCTCCACTTAAAACAAAACAAACATCCCTCCATTGCTCCACAGGATGGGAGGGATGTTTGTCACTTAGGCAGCTGTGGGACTAATGTCACAGTTTTTCAGTGAAAATGTCTTAGCTTACTGACTTAAACTGTCCACATCTGTTTTTGTTATTGAAGCTCTATTTTGAGATAAAATTAGATTCTTAGGATACAGTTAGATAATTGAAACTGCAAATTTTATCCTTGAGAAACTGTGTTTTATAGTGCATCTCGTGGACAGCAATTTCACTTGCATGTGATTCTTTGCAGTATGTGCAAGCAAATACATGATTTACTTTCTCTCTGTGGTTTTTATTCCTTCCAGCCTGAGTCTGAGCATCTCTCCCTTAGCCATGAGAGTGCCAATCCATTGCATTTCTGTCACCAAAGAGTACAGCCACATCCTTGTTGGCCTGGAGGACGGCAAGTTGATTATCGTTGGTGTTGGCAAGCCGGCAGAGGTAAAACCCACCATCAAGAACTTTTTCTACCGAACTGTGGGAAGTTCACTTATTTCTGCTTTCCAGTTGAGCAAGAGGTCTCCTCTTTGGCAGGGTAAACTTAAGAGCAAGTTTCAGTTTTCAGTGGGAAACAAATAACTTTTGAGACTGCTCTGCTGAAAGTTCTGATTAAGAATCAGATGTGTATAGGGATCGCAGATGGGAAGCTCAGCTGGACTAACTTCCAGACTTTATCACTCACATCTGAATAAGCAAAGTCATAATAGCTAACCTTTTCTGAATGGGATAGTGTTGTCAGCCTCTTCTTGATGAAATAATTTTCCAGAAGAAATTTGGAAATGAAAGAGAGCAAGCTACTTCCTTTATTTTTTTTTATGATTTCTATCAGATATCTTTTAATATGCGCTGACTGACATTGGGGAAAAAGGTATTACTTCTGTCTGTTGAGAGTCTCTAATGGCAATGCACAGTGAATCACTTCTGTAGGTTCCCAGTATGCTTGTGTTCCATATGGCAAATAGAAGTTGGTCCTGCATATGCAATATCAATTACAGAGCATCCATCTCTCAAATAGATATGCCCAATTTTTCTTGTGCAAAACCATAGTTTTTGCTTTAATTACTTCTTGTAATGACTTTCAAAGTACTTGAGTTAATTTAAAACTGCTTGTTATCTTTATAACTCAATCTCTGTTGTGCTGCTATGTATTTATTTGAGAATGTGATTATCACTTTTGCATGATCTTAAGTACATGCTGGAAAAGTGAGTATTAATTCTATTTTATATTCTAAATGTGAAAACAGAGCAACTTTATTTGTCAGTATTTTTAAATTTTCTTGCTAGGATATACATAGTTTAATATTGGAAAAATATTCACACAATAGTAGTCTGATTTTGCTTGCACTGGATGTGGAGGGGACATTTCCACTGATTTTCAATTTTCTATTGTAGAATTGAAAAAGAGATTATTATTATGTGGTTAAACATATGGTTGTAACAGCAGTTTTAAAGCCACTGTCATTTCTAAGCTTCCTATTCCATAGAAAAGATCTTTTGTAGGCTGAAATTTATGTGTATCATTAGACTGAAGGCTGTTTTCTTATTTTCATTTTTTAATCACATCTATTTTTCTAACTATGCAGAAAGTGTTGTTTCAAAGACTGGATTCCTTTTATGGTTATAGAGGCTTTCCAGTGACCTTTTTCCCAGGATTTTCTGTTTACAGTTCAGATGATATGCAACCTTAATATCTGTGTAAATAAGGTTTTTTTTTAACACAAACATATAAGGAACAACATTATGTCCCAGATTTTCTAGTTTTCTATAATGGCATCAATCAATATATTTGAATAGTGTGTGTATGTGTGGTGTTCATTTGTTGAATTACTTATTTTGGAAGGAATGTGTTAATTCCTGGAACTTTATCTGTATGCAAAGACAGTGTTGTAGTTCTGGCTTTCAGTGGTGATATTGATCCTTAGGACAGAGGATTGGATCCTTGGCACAGACTTGCTTTAATGTGCAAAAAGTGAAATGATGCTTGCTATCAAGATTGGCCCTTAGTGTTTCTGCACTGACAGTTTCTAATATGGAGGATAAGAAATGCTTTTGTATTTTTAACAATTACTTAGCTGTTTTGGATGTTACAGAAGTCTGGGCAATTATCACTTGTTAGTGTTGATCCTGGTCAGTGCTGTGCCTTTTCTAGAACACTGCTGCTCTGCTGATACAGCTCAGAAGCAGGTAACATTTGTAGTAATAACTGTGAGGAACTGTTCTCAAACTTTTAAAGGCATGGATCTTATTTATTGAACTGTGAGGATTTTCAGAACATAATCAGCTGCCAGGCTGATCACTATGGGCCAATCATCAACCTTGTGCTTAGGTAATGAAGAGTTTCTTACAAACTGTTGTCAGATTGTAGACCTACCAGATGCTGGATTTAGTATGGCCTCTGGTTGCTTGTTATCCATCTTATCCTGTTGAATACTCTCTATGAATTACTTCTGCTTTAAACATTCCTCTGAGCACTTCACCCAGGATCTTTGGAAGACTGTATAAATTTGATACCAGGAGATAACCTTTCTCTTTTTCCTTTATTCTGCTATCACTGTCCTGCATCTTGGCTATTTTTTTCCCACTTCTGGCAATTTCTGTTTGAAATCTCTAAAATAAAATGTCCTTTCTTCTCATTTAGTTCATTTTTGCTTGGCATTCACTTCTTCTTTTCTCTTCCTATCAAAATAGCAATCTAAACACTCTTTCTAAGCTGTTTGAAGTAGGTTAAGCATATAAGTACACATTAGTGGGTAATATCCCTTTAACTGTTCAAATTCAGAGAAGGCTGTGGTTAGTGTTTTGTGTCTTGTTTTTTCGTCAGTCCCAAGAACAATCCCTAAGTGTAACTTTTAGTTTATTTTCAAAGAATTTTTGTTGGTATATTTTGTTTGTGCAGTACATTGTAGTGTCTGCATTTCACCAGATTCAGTGTCTGAATTCTTTTTTAATTTATCCACCTTATCCCTTCCCCCTCCTTTTGTTTCTCTGAATTACTTTCAAACAGATGCGCTCAGGTCAGATTTCCCGAAAGCTGTGGGGATCAAGCAAACGGCTCAGCCAGATTTCAGCAGGAGAGACTGAATATAACACTCAAGATTCCAAGTGATTGCTGCTTCTACATTCTCTTATGGATTCCAGAAAAATGTTTAATCTTTTGGTCACTTTAGATGTATACATATGTAATCAGGGCTTTGAATCTGAAGCCCTTTGATTCTTGATGAAGAACTTATAGTAGAGGTATAGTAGTAAGCATATGTACTCATGCAAGTTAGCCTGCTTGCCTATTTGTCCTCAACTGTGTTGACTTGTTCACAGCAAAATCCCTCTCTCAACAGCTGCTAAAACTGTGTTTTGGGAGGACTAAAAAACCCCTGAATCATCCCCCCAGAAGTCTTCAAAACAGATTACTAATTGAATTTAAAGCTGAGTAGGGCCAGATGCTCCTTGATAACAAACAAGATATTTGGCTTTACTTTGACAGCACTGTTATTTCCCAGTAAATTAAAACTCTGGTAGTTGCAATGGTTAGTTTCAGAATTGAATAGATGATGGTTATGACCTTCTCAGTATGTTTGTTTGCCTAATGAACTTTATTACAGTTTGTTTGTGTAAATGGCTATTGCTCACATCTTTTGTGTAGTTCCAATTTTAGGCTGTTCTGCAAGGAACATCTGTGTTGCACTACTTTATCAGAAATTGTTTTAAGTACAGACATGAATAACTTCAAAGGAGTTGGAGGTGGTGAAGGAGCTGAAGGAGGTAGGAAATATTGCTGCTGAAAATTATTTATATTGTTAAGTAAACTTGAGACATACACCAAGAAATCCCATTATATATTTAACATCTTGCAGAAATACCCAGGAAGACTTTTTATCTATATTGGTCAGATATCAATGTGCTTTATTAGTAAGGCAACTTCTGCAAACAAAAGATAAATTTCCACTGCAGAATCATTATTGAACATTGCAGCACAATTCAATTAAAAATAGCACCTGTTTGTTTCTTGGTGTTCACAAAACCAGTTGTTAGCCATATTTTTTTTCTGTAAAAATAAACAGGGAAAACCAGTTGATATATCCATTTTCAAAATGCATTTAAGACCTGGTAAAAGAAAATATTAGATCCTTATGTGTGCTCTATCAAATTGCTTACTGTGTTTTGGAGAAGCCATTACTGATTTTTTTTTTTTTTTTGTTTAGCAATACATGATGATAGAAGGGTGCATTTTCCTAGCAATCTGATATTTTTTAATGTTACAGATTGAAATTAGAAACTCTATAGTGTTAGAAAAGCTGGGTGCTGAGGGAAAACACAAATTTCCAGATCAGTGTGCGAAGGTGTGTGTATGTGTATATATGTGTGTGTATGTATATATGTATATTCGTGTATGTATTAAAAGAAGAAAATCCCATGGGGTGAGGGGAGCACAGATACAAGGCAGGTTTGATTGTTAGCTAATACGTTCCCTTTTGGGTCCCCATTTCTTCCCTCTACCATCGCTTTTTTTGTTATTTTTTATTTATTTATTGAAATGAATGTGTGTTGTCTCTCTCATAAATGTTATCACATATGCCCTGTGGCTGGGGAGTTGTTGAACTACCTGAGGAACATAATGTATAATCTCATTTCATTAACTTTAAGCACAATATTTATTGACTTAATAGAAATAATAATATGTCCTTACTCTGCTAAAGGATAATCTTTACAAGTTGTGTTAGTCTCATTCAAACTGATTTCTCCTCCTCACTTTCTTTACTGGAAAAAAAACATCCCTCTTGATGGCTGATTGGTGTACTTGTAAAGAAAGCTGTGTTGCATTTTCTTAACTTTTGTAAATGAAATAATAAATCAGATTAGTGAACAAGTGGGTCTATGCATAGTTGCAATATTCTGCCTAATCACTGTGACAGACTGGAATGTCTGGAAAGTTAGGAGAAAATAAGAATTATTTTCCTGAGTCACTTGCCAAGAGAAGATTAAACATCCAAAAGTAGAGTGGTGTGGGTTTTTTCGTTCTCCACATATGTAAAAAAAAATATAAATTAACCCACATCCCATATTTTCAAATAAGCTGTAGAGAAATGTACTATTTTTAATCAGTTACCTATCCAGTAAGAATACTAAGGATACTGTGAAAGTATTAAGTTTGTTCATGAGAATGTGAAGCATGTTTGTCCATTATGATTTCATGAAAAAAGGATTTCAGGGGAGCTCTTTGTAGATAGTTTAAAAGTATTTCAGCTCAGAATGTGAGCTCTTTCTGTTCTGGGAGGTTGGAAACACTCAGGTGGGGCATTGAATTGATGGGTTTTATAGGTGTGCATTCATGTTGTGTTTAATGCATAGACAAGGCTAAGTGTTTATTTGGAGGGGAAGGTGGCAGGAAATGATAATGTTTTAGGTTATGAGAATGAAGTGAAAAAGGGAGATAGGTCTTACGTAGTGTTTGGTGGGAGCACAGTTTTCTTCTTGTCACTTGCACAGAGGGGTTTGTATAAGCATTTTAAAACATCCTGTTGTGGGTTTGGTAGGTTTATACAACAGCTGACTTAACATTTTTCAATATTAAAGAATAATGAAAATAGTGTGTCAGTTTAAGTAAAATATAATGTTGCAATAATTGAAATAATTTATGATTAAGACCTTTGACATTTGAATACCATAATTTCAGTGCATCACAAGCACTGGGTGATCATCACAAATACCTGGGCCAAGTTTAAATGTGGACAGTTCTTGGGCTCTCAAACTCAAGGCTGGTCTGTGCTCAGTACAAAGCAGCAGCAGCAGAATGAGGAGGGGAGCTCTGAGCTGCTGCTTTATGCCCCAGGTAGAATGGCAACATCTATGGCCTTTGGATCTGAGATCTGCTCCTTGGGGGTGGGAGGTGTACACCATCACAGCTTGGCATCCTTGCCAGAGGCCATCTGGAAAGACCTGCATGGCTGTGAAAGTCTGCACTCTGCCTTCATTTAAAACCAGCTTTATATAAAAGATGAGTCGTAAGTGTGAGCATTAGCATTAGACACTTTCATTCTTTTAGGTTTAACTTATTTGCATAAAAAGTAAAAAATAATGTTTAAAATAGAAAATAATTCTTCTGATCGGCTGTTTAGTCAGTTGAATTGCAGCCTGTTATGCAGTGCACTGTGAATTGGTGAACTGACTTTCATAATTCTTTGATTTCCTCAAGTCAATAAAGCTTAGGATCCCATTTTTTTTTCAGGTAGTATTGGTGAAATAAGATTCTCCTTTGGTTTTGTTCAAAGGTTTGTTTAAGTGTAAAAAGCAAAGTTTTGAAATTATCGTATTCCAATGAGGAATTTAGAAGAAACAAGTCTTAAGTGACATTTATTTCATAGCACTACATTTGTCAAGATCTTCTTTGTGATATCTTAATATGTTTAATTTTTGGAATAACTCTAATAATATTTATCAAAGTGTAACATATGCTTACCTTTGAAGATGAGTAAGTAGGAGTGTAAATATATATATCTAAAAGAAACTGAAAACTGACCTACTTTTCATACCTGTATATAAATGAGATTAATTAGTTAGCAGTATTAACTTCTTCGTATCACAGTTTTGAACTTGCGTACCAAAGGATATTTAGAAGACATGTCTCCTTTATTTCAAGTCAAATGTTTGTGAAATTTCTCTAAATCAATTTACTTAAAATTCTTGATAGTATTTTTAGTTGTCTTTTTAGCTGTAGTGAAGAGTCCTATCTGGTCTTTGCTGGGTTTGAACTATACAAGCTTACAGAAAGTGAAATGCTCTTCAAGTAGCATCTGACTGAGGCAGATTTTTCTGTAACTGATGTATTATCCATTACTCACTCCTAGGATATCTAGAAACCTCATCTTTTATCATCCATGTACCTTTACCAGCACAACATCATAATCCCAGTCCTAAAGTAACTGCATTTGTCCTGGTCGTAAAGACACATTGTGGAAATTAGATTTTCTTAGGAAAATAATTTTTTGATATTAAAAAGAGTAAAAAAAGAAAAAAAACTAAGCCAACAAAACTTCCCCCAACCCCCACAACTTCCCCTCCAAAAAAAAGCAAAGTCATCCACATCCATATTACAATTGCTTTGCTAATCTGCAACATTGATATAGAGAAGCTCTTTCCCCTCTGGCATACCTTAGATGATGCATATTATCACAAAACAGGTTTATCAGTCTTCACAGGCTTTAAATGGCCAAATAATTGGCTGTCTTACAAGGATCCCCAAAGTTGTATTTCTTTGTATTGAAAGTTGTATTTCTTTGTCCTTTAAATGAGTGCAAAGAACCAAGTTTCTGCTCTGGAAAAATTCTTTAACATAATCCTGCAGAAATGATAAATTTATTTTTGTAATGCACAGATTTGGTAACTCCTGCTTTAGTCAATGGGAGCTGTATACCTCACTTCCCGAAATCATGTCTTCCTCCTCCCTGTTTCCTTTGCAAACCTTTCCCAATCTTAATGAACAAAATCATTAGAAAAGATAAGTAAAGGAACCAAATGCTGCACAAAGCTTTTGCTGTGTATGTGTAATTAGTTGAAAATGTGTATCTATATACAGATTATAGAGTGGTAGGGAGCTTTAGAGCTAGAGATGTCTACTTCCCTCTGCCCCTATATTGAGAGTCTCTGTGCTGTCACCTGAAACATTCCTGTCTTCCACTGCTAAAGGCACCTTGCTGACTATCTTAAATGCTGAGCTGAGGTGCTGGGAATATTTTTTCCCTTTCAAAGAATTAAAAAAAAAAAAGGCATGCCCATTAAATGCATACCCTAAAGTGAGCCTAGGGCCTGATGTAATCAATTACTGTTATGTGAAAGCACTACATAGGCTTGTATTTATTTGAATGGAAATTCAAGCATGTGCTTCAGTGCTTTCTAGGTCTTTTTATGATTTCTAGCTTAAAAGCTGTGTTGGTTTTGGCTGCAAACATGACACTTGTTGGTCGTCTCCCTTTGGGGAGAGTAAGTTTCCATGGTATCATATACACATGGGTTCATTGTATGCCAATGTTAGAGTCAACTGAAGTGTTTGGAAGATGTCTTTTATTCCAAGGAGCCAGTCTTATTACTAAATTGCCCTTGTAAGCACATACTTTTGAAGGAAGCAAGTTTTCTAGAAAGCTACTGCATCAAAAAAATATATTGAAAATTGGTAAAATGCTATTATTCCCTTCTTCAGTGTGGATATCAGATGCCTGAATGTAAAAATGCCTGAGTGGCACCATAGCATGCTCTGCATTTCAGTTGAGTGCCATTCACCTTACTGCAGTCTTGAACACCCCATAAGTGAAGAACTGCTTGCAGTGTTTAGTCCAAGGTAGCCTTTGTTCAGTTTTAACTCACCTTTTTATTGTGCATCTGTGGAAGAATACTGGTGTGTCTTTCTTTTAGTTATCATTTACCGATGTGGCCCAAATAAAATAGGTGTTTCCCTTGTTTTCAATAGAGTTTTTTCAGTGTGTGTTCTTCCTAGTTTTGTCTAGTGGACTTGAGGAATTTGGCAGGTATTTCCAGAGTTCAGGTCTATACTTATACTCAGCAAAGACATAATTTCATCAGACATCTTCTGTCCCAGAAGCATGGTTGTCAGTATAGATTATGGTTTAAAGCTGCTAAGGAGTTTTGAGATTGGAATATAAAACATCCAGCCATATATATCATAGATCTAACTGAACTTGGAGGTCACTTGTTTATTTAGCTTCCTGTCTAGTCACTATTTTCCTCTCAAGGGAGCCATACTTTTTGCCTTGAAATAGCTTTAAAATAAACTGAAGTCTTGCACCTGATAGTACTACTTTAGTCACATGCAGCAGTGAGTTGTTTCTTAAAGAAAGCCATGAGAGGGAAAAAAGAATTAAAGAAAAACTTGCAATATGTGTTCTGATTCTGCAGGAGCTACTTAGGACAAGGGAAATGCTGCATGTGAGACTTACCTCCCTTTGGTCAGTGTTTTGATGGAAGCTGTGATGCTACTCAGTTTTCTGATGACTTTTTACTGAAGCTAATCAGGGGGTGGAAGCAAAGGCCTTACAGCAAAGTTAACCATATCTTCTGATAATTCTTACAGATTTGTGCAATTACATGATTACAAATGGATCTTTAAATGCCAAAAAATGCCTTTTCAAAGAGCTAAATGTTAGGTCTGAGGAGTGTTGGAAATAGCTACTTTCAGAAATGAGCCTTCAGGCACTGTAATGAACTTGCTGTCTGTCTTCTGTGCAATATCTTTTTCCCTCTGGGTGCTTTAAGAGTATACTGTATGTCTTACTTTGGTTTGATCAATATGTTTTAAGAGTGTGTATATTGGCTAATGATGGGTTTTTTTCCTGTACAGCATGATGGAAGATGTTTTAAAATTTTGCACTTTTCTAGGATTTGCAAGTTTGTAACCTGAAAATTTTTAACATGCACACTTTTGTACATAATTAGCATTGTATATATTTAACATGAGTCTGAAGCAAATAAAAGTAATTGAATGCATAACTTCTCCCTTTATTAATAGCACAAAAATTAAACTAAGTGTGGGAGTACACTGAATGAACAATTCTTTTGTGTAGCAGGTAAAAATAGGCAGCGGGAAGAGCTGACACAGTGTCCTGTCTTAATTGTGTTAAGGCAACTTTATTTTGGTGGGGAAGGAATCAAAGTGGACATGTGAATGTATAGGCCCCTTCAAGCTTTGATTAGCTATGATTCTCCAAGTATTGCAACAAAAAGTGTCTTTTTGCTGGGAAGGAGGTGTCTGAGGCATGCATTAGGGTGAGGAAAAGAGTCCAACTAATGCATATTGATCTTTATTTATAAAGCTGAAGTACCCCACCTACTCTGGGACAACAAGCATATCTTTCCTTTTTCCTCATTGTCTTCCCTATATAGTAACTTTTGCTGCAGAATATGGAAGGCTATGGATTCAGGGGATTGCTGTCAGTCAGGAGGAAACTGAAATCTGTTCCAGGCTCATGTTCAGTTGGTTTCTTACCCCTGCAAACAAGAGAAACCATGCTGTGAGCTTTAATGGGAGGTGGGACTACTCTGCCCCATCTGTTACTAGATATAGATCAAGGCACCCTTATTCTGAACAAGCAGAGTTTTGATTCCATCATGTCACATGCATTTTAGATTTCTCAATAAAGTCCATGTAATTCTAGATATGGATTCCCTTGTTCTGGAGTTGAGTGCATTAGGGCCAAATTGGCATTTCCCTGGCTTTCAATAAAGGAGCTGACTATTGGGGCTCTTGTTTAGAATTTGGAAACATAAGCAGCAATGGATGCAGTGCTAGAGCACACACTGGGTTAGTCAGACATCCTTTGCAGTGCTGTCATACTGCTGGCTCCTCTGGAGCATTAAACAATACTCACATTTTCTCCAAAGAGAAATGGAACCAAGGGATTAAGTAACTTCTGGTGGGGGGACAGGCACCATGTGCCAGGAGTTTAACAGAAACCTCTCTTCCTTTCTGTCTGAAGGAGGATATCAATTCAAGTGATGCATTTACCTCAAAAACAGACGTGCTCCTGTCACTCCTTGCAGCGTGGCGTTATCTCCTTCCACTAACAGCATCGTACCTTCCCGCAAGCCCTGGGCGAGGCAGAAACATTTAAACTTATTTTCAAGCTATGTGAAAGGGTAGAATGCTTGTCACAAGCAGGCCAGTCTCAGTGGCACCATGACTACAGACTAAACCTTCTCACTTACCTAACAAAGAGGTAAAGACAAAAATAGGTGAGTTATCTTGTTTTAGAAGTTGATTTTCTTGTTTATTTCAGTTTTCACTCTTAAAGGAGAAATCATTAAGGAGGAGAGGAAACTGGTTTTTCATTTAGTTATTCTTAGATCCAGTTTGGGTTGAGCAACAGCCACTGGGTTTGTTAGTGCACAAAATTTATAGTACAAGGTCAAACACAGGGACAGGAAACACAGAGGTTCCAATTCCCCAGACAGACATAATGAGATTATGTGTACACTATTGAATATGCAAATTCAGAAACTATTACAGAGATTAAAGTTAAGAGTATCTTCAAAAAGATTAAGGGAGACTTTTGTACTGCTGCCTAAAAATAGTGTTGAGCAACACTAACAGGAGTATGCATTTCATTGGCCCCAATCCATTTTCTACAATGAGCAATATCCAAGGCTCAAGCTCTTAGCAAGAATACAATTAGCATTCCAATCCAGGGAATTTTAAGGCTTGACAGGCAAAGAACCCACACTGAGAGCTAGCATGAATGCATTTAAAATGTTTATCATGCTCCAGCTTCCTGATGGAGAACTACTACTCACCAGAACTGGAGGGGTGTTTGGTTCTTCGTGGTACTGGTGGATTCTTTCCTCTCTTGTCTCCTGCAATAATGAGCACAGATTTAGCTTCCCAGGCCATAAGGTAAGGACTTGGAGCTATCCAGGCAACATGACATCAAATAATTTCATAACATTAAACAAAGCAGGCACTTCCCTTCAAGCAGAATGGGATGGCCGGATTGACTCTATTTAATAGATGTGTGTTTATCCTTTATCACTAGCAACAAGTTACTGCAGGTTGATCAAACAGAACTCACACAATCCCAACCCTGAAAAACGTCAAAACTTACTTCCACTCAATTAATCCATGAGTTTTTTTTAATTAGTACTATCTCTGTGTGCAGAGATAGTACTAATACTACCAGGAAATTGGTAGAAGCAAATGCCTGAGGTGCAACCTTTGTGAAAGAGAGTAGTGAATCATGGATTTTCAGTGATTAAGTATTTGCTTGTTTGTCTTCAAGTAGGTATTACACTGAAGAATTTCCTTCTGTGAACAGCTGTGTCATGTTTCCTGAGGTTTGCTGCTAAACTGAGCAACAGTAAAGAAATAAAAACATAGGAACACAGCAGGGACTTGGTACAGCACAGGGCTTCCAGCCTCCTCTGAGAGAAACAACAAAAGTTATTTATAGGGAAAAGACTGCCTGCTAATCTAGTGACAAGCTGATGAAATGAATACCTACAACTTCATCTAAATTCTAGAAGCACACCCATCTCTTCACCCATCTAGAAGCATCTACCATCTTCATTGTTCCCTAACTTTTAATACTTCCTCTAACCATGAATTTTGATTACAAGGAGGAAAGTGTTTAGGTTGTTAAAAGATGCACCACACAGATTGTTCCCTGAGGAATTAGCTGACGAGCTATTTAAAGAAGGAGCTCCTCCCCACTGTATGGAAATCTGTCTTTGTGCTTGATGGCTGAAGTGTTTTTCTTTCAGCTGTACTGGTGCATGTGCTTGCTCTGTACTGGACATTACAAGCTGTGCTCCCTGCAAGGACACCAGTGCCCAGGTATTTTCTTACACAACTGCTTGAATCTCAACATCTCTGTTCAGATTGTTTCTTCAGACCTTTAGATATTTAAGCCTCTTAATGTATGTTTAAGTTAGGGCTTCCCAAGCAGCAGGTAAGACAGAACTTTCCAGAACCAGTGCTTTGCATCTTAACACTTCAGGTTTATCTTTTCTTTTTTAATTCCCCCATTCCATGCCAGTTAGCCAGCATTTCAACAGTATTTCAGACATTGCAGAGCTTCTGTTTGTGAAAAACACTTTGTTCAGTAATACTCCTGCCAACTCCTCTTCCCAAGCAAAGTTAAGTTTTAGGAGGAAGTGAAGTGTTACTGCCTCATTGGCATTTCCAGTTTCTCTAGGGAGAAGCTGTTTGACATTCTATAGCTTTGTAAGGCCTCAGAAATGCACACTATTTTTACTCTTCCACACCCTAGTGACTGTCTTAGTTCTGGTGTGCTTTACTTACACCCATGTGAGTTCTTTTAATGTCTGGGTCCAGGTAGTGAGGGTTAATATTAAAAGGAACTAATCCTAGAGCCTGCAGGGTAGGTGGATAAACAATTGGCATGTCATTGGTGGTATTGATGCTGACAGTGGCAACGTTGGTTCCTGCGCTGGATCCCATGTAAGGAATCCCATCCTGAAAGACAAAAGCAATGATCAGTCTGCAGCACCACAACTAGGAACTCAATTTTATACCATCTTCTATCAGTCTCAGAAACCCATCAGTCAGATCAGACTTAGTGCTTCCAGCTCCTCTCATTGGTAACTTTACAGGTGAAAAGCAGAACAAGAATTCAGATTCTGAGGTGGGCAGTAGCTTCTCTGTGTCAGAGAACTAACTGCTGCCTGCCTTGTACTCACAGCTCTGTGACCCCCCAAGACAGAATTTACCAGGTGTGCATGGTGAACTTTGCTATTAAGAGGAGAGACTTGCCTCTATTGCAGTTAAAGGAAGTATCTGAACTGGCTTTTAAGTAGCTTCTGGAGAGAGCAGGCCATCAGAAGCTCAGTGCAATGTTATCACAGCATAAACTTACCAGAACCATGACCAGTTTAGCACTGTTTAGCTATGAGTACTATGCTGTACGTAGAAGAATGCCACACAAATATGCAAGTGTACAGGTAATCACAAGCAATTTGTAAAAATAGAGCTGTCTTGAGACAACTGGTGGTAATATAACCAAGTAGTTATCCAAACTTAACTGGCATTTGGACATTTTCTGGCTTTCATTCCCACAACAGATGATGAATTTCTATATATTAAGATAAGCCTAGCTAACCTTTATTCTTGGCAGCTGGCCTTACTGTGGCTCGTATAAATCTGCATAAAGTCATTTGCAGTTCCACATTGCTAGGGAACACCTTGCTTCTGTTCTCCTCCAGAGATGGTGTATCTTTGCTGTGCCTTATGAGATTCACCAGCTGGACTGGTGCTGCTGACCAGAGGGGCTCAATGGCACTCACACCTCTCAGTTCCAAGGAGATACAAGAATTACGTAATTTTCAACATCAACAGGACACTGTCTAAAAGGCACATATGGATCCAACTTTATCACCAGTTTATTGCAGACAACTTCAACATGAACACATCTATATCAACAAGATATGAAGTGGTCATCTCAAGCTGAAAAACAGGGTTTCTGGACACAGATTAAATCCTGCACTGGTCTTTTGACTGGCATTTTGAGTGGTTTGCTTCTAGGGTTCTATGTAGCATTGTACATCCCAAGGTCTTGCAATCCAGCATCTAGAAAACTGCTCTAGGAAGACAGACTGCTGACACCTTAAGTCTTTTCAATGACTCAGTGACAGCCTTATTTGGCCATTGTTTTCAGTTCACCAGGTTGTTTGAGATGGCTCGACATCTGAAGTGTATTAGAGACAAAAATGCAGAATCAGCTTGGACTTGTCTGAACAAAAGCTCATGCATGAGATCCAGCCATTGAGACTTGGCCAGAATCTGTAGTTTTACCTCAAGAACTCTTTTCCTGATCTCATGTATCAGACAGTTGTCATAAAGAGCTTTCAGGAGACGGAATGTGTTCCCACCTCCTGCAGAAACAAAGTTCAGCTTATTTAGCATGCTTTCACCATCAGTTTTAATTGAAGCCTTCAATTAAACTCAGCAGGCACTACAAATTCTATGCTCTATTCAGGGGCAGTATCCTGCTTTGAGAAGCAGTAAAACCAGAAGCTTCAGAGGAATGGTCACTGGGCAGGCCATGGGCATGCCCTGAGTCATCCTTGTAAGATGACATCCTGCCACTGTCTGACAGTGACCTCTCTTCCAATATCCAGGACCATGCTATTAGGACTAGAACTTCTTGGGCTTGCTAAAGTGATAATAGAGCTGCTATGATCATGTTTTTACACTGAAGTACTGCTCAAAATAATAATTTGAAATTTACTGGAGATGAAGTTCCATTAATAAATCTACTTCCCAGCCCACCACTAAATTTAGAGTCTTAGGGCTCCCAATTACTGTCTTCTGTAGTTTCTAATCACTAAGCCTAACTGCTTAATTGTTGGTCTTCAGTGCCACCTCTGAGCAGGACTAATCCGGTGCCCTATATAAACCTTCACTGGGGACTAAGAAGTAAAACTTACCAATAAATATTGCTTCAGATTTCCTTACAGCTTCCACTGGATCACAAGATTCATGAATGCTGTCCAGCCCATAACCTTAAATGAAAAAGTATTTACCTTTTAATGTGAAAGTTTGGTGGAAGAATGGGATATGTTCAATCCCTCCCTGCCCACCTCCTCCAACCCCTGAGCCAAATATGTCAACCAGGGAAATTTCAGAGAACTCTACAACGTAAAACAGAGTGTACACCCTACAGTAGTGCAGGGCTAATACAGCTGTACAAAAGGAAATACTTGTTTTGTGGAGATATGCACTCAGTTTCTAGGAGCAGAACATTTCACTCAGCAGGTGCAGGCTGAGGCACAGTATCCTCCTGAGCATTACCAGATAACTAGAAAATGAGGAAAAAGCTGTTAGTTCTCAGCTTGGCCATGCTGAAATCTGACAGGATGTGTTGGTTCTAGCACTTCTTGTGCAAATACCTGATCTGAGTATTGTTTCTGTTCAAATGTCCGACTTTGATAGATTTGCCTTGCTGGGGTTGACTGAGTACAGGAAGTGTCAAGAGAGACCGAAGAACATAGGTATTTGATAGCAGCAATCTTCCTGCAAGTCAGGGAGCAAAGTGTGCTGCCCAGGCAAGTGAGTACTGATTATTACTACACTAACAGCTCCAAAGTTACCCTTAACAGTGATAGATACTAGGTGGAGGTGTTGCTGTAGACTCTGCAGAGATCTTTGCTCCAAGCAAAGTTCAGCTGCTGTCCATCATGGAACTATCCGGCTCCTTGATGTGCTTTAAGTAATGGTCTTCACTTACAACCGTGACTTGAGCAGAGGTTTAAGATATATGGGAAGAAATGTTCCCTCATGTGATTAAGAAGGATAAAAAGATGCCACTTAGTAGTTAGGGATAAAATCATCTTCCCTGGAGTGAGCAGAAGTGTTTGCAGCAAGATTTCTTCTGGAGGCTTCTAAAACATCTCCTTCCAGGCAGAAGTCCGCAGCCGACTCCTGCTGCTCACTGCCCTTGCTGCCCGTACCGCAGCAGCCCAGCCCGTGTGCCCCGCGCCTGTCTCGGGCCGCTCCGTGCCCGCAGCCCGCTCCCCGTGCCCGGTAGCGGCCCGACAGCCCCGGGCACAGCCGGCGTGGCCGCCGCTGCCGGGCCGGCCTTACCCAGGCTTTCAAACTTCTCCCTGGCCGTGCGGGCGTAGGCGTCGCGGTCGTGCAGGGCGTAGGGGATGAACAGCACCCGCCTCACGTTCCTGGGAGAGGAGAGAGGGGAGAGAGCGGTGGGCGCGACGGAGGCGGGGGCCGAGCGCTCCCGCAGCCCCGCACGGCGCTTACTGCCCTAGGAAGCTCTGGATGTGCTGCTGGCAGTGGCCCAGGTACCCTCCTCCGGGCAGGGTGGAGTTGGAGATCAGCAGCAGGCGCCGTGGGCTCCCCATGCCGAGCCGAGCCAAGCCAAGCCGAGCCCTGCTCCCTGCCCAGTCCGGTCCGCCCCTTCCTGCCCCGCCGGCGGCCCCGGGGTGGGGCCGAGCCGCCGCCGCTCCGCCGCCCCGGCCCGGCCATGCTGGACTTCGCCATCTTCGCCGTCACTTTCCTGCTCATCCTCGTGGGCGCCGTGCTCTACCTGTACCCGGTAATGCTGCCGGCCATGGGGCCGGGGGCGCCCGGCCCGGCCCGGCCCGGCCCCGGTGCAGGCGGGCAGAGAGCGAGCGGCCGCGGGGCCGAGGCAGCCCCGTCGCAGCCCCTGGGCCCGGGCGGTGCCCCCGGCCCGCAGCCCGGGCCCGGACGGGACGTGGCAGGGGCCTGCGGGAGAAGCTGCGGGCAGGGCGTTCCCGGGACAGCGCAGTCCCGGCACTCCTCCTGCCTTACGGGCTCCGGGATGAATCCTGCTTTCCAAAGGCGCGGTCGTCTGCTCGCCTTGTATTTTTGCAGGCCTCCAGGGCAAATCAGTGTGTAATGCCCTACATTGCAAACTTGACCCTTTTAATCTTTACGCAGACATCTTTGATCTAACCAGATGAATAATCCTGGTTTAGCCAGTGGCACCAGGCATACAGTTGAGGTTTATCGGCTTAGCAGGTTTAAAGCCTGCAGATGTAGCATACCCAGCTCCTGTTTCATGTTTGTAAGTAGTTTAGTAGTATTGGTGTGGAAAATTCATCTCTCCTGCCGGAAAGGTGTGGGATCTGTATAAAATCTCAAGTTCACGTAGATTGATGCATTTCCTTTTACTCTAGGCATCTAGGCAAGCATCAGGTATCCCTGGGCTGGCTCCAACTGATGAAAAGTAAGTGGTTTCTGTCTCCACATTGGTGAAGTTCAGCATTGGCAGAGGATGCTATTCATGACCAGAAATCCTGTGTGTTTCTCAGGGATGGCAACCTGCCAGATATCATTGCCAGCAGCAGCTTACATGAGTTTCTTGTCAACCTTCATGAGAAATATGGGCCACTGGTCTCCTTCTGGTTTGGAAGGCGTCTTGTTGTCAGCCTCGGCTCCATCAATCTCCTGAAACAGCATGTTAACCCCAACCGGTTGTGTAAGTGTCCTTTACCTTGTCTTTTGAGTCCATTTGTTCTGGCCTCACTGGGCATCAAAGGAAGTTGGGGTTTCATTCTACATTGAAAGAAAATGAAGCTTTTTAACTGACATGGTGGTTCAGATCCTGACTTTGGTCCTGCTTACTGAGCTTGAGTATCAGTGACCAAGGGTTACTGCTGTCCAGTGCCCATCAGGAAATCAGTATGCTTGTGTCTTATACCATCTCTCTACAGGCAAACATTCAGGAAAAGCATCATGCTCATTAGTCACTTGATAGAGCAAGATGAACATCCTGTAGCCACTTGGCGTACATTTTAAAAGCAGTTTGAAATACAGTTTAGGAGGTAACTTTGATAAATTAAGTCTGAAAACAGCTCTGCTAGTTTGTGATAACAGCCTTGTATGGTTCAACATGTAGGTTTTTCAAACTATTATTTGGAGAAATTCTTTACCTTTCATGTTTCTTTTGGTGTGTAAAATTTTGTAGTGAAAACCTTTAATGATCTTCCAGTCTTGGAAGTGGATGGTGATGCTGGTAGCTGAGTTGACTATCTTAGTCATGAGAGAGTATTTTAATTTATGGCCTAAACCTCTTAGGTGGGCATTTTGCTTCCTAAGGTTATCACACTTGATAAGTTAACTCAGTTGGTGCTTGGGTTCAATCTCTTGCTTTCCCAGTTTTACTTTAGAAGGTTGAAAGAGGTGCTGGGTGCACACCTCTGACCTGATCCTGTTGGCTGTCTTTAGGCACAGGCAGAGAGCTCAGCTCACTTTATGCTGGGGTCGTGAGGGGTAAACTTCATGTACAGTTGCCTGACAGAATCAGAAAAAGAAATGGTGACAATCTGGGAAAGGAGTGGGAGTTAACAAGGATCAGCAAGACACAGTGGATAACGATGACACTCCAGAAGGTGGAAAACCACCCTGAGAGATCTGAATGCTCTCAAGTGTGTTTGGAAGAAATTAAGCAGACAGTCACTTTTTCTAAGCTCAGAGAAGTGGTGACAGGCCCCTGCACAGGCAAGTTCTCATAAATGTTCTGAATTTTGGAGGATCTGAGTATTGGAGAAAGAGAAATACAGTGCCTGAACTTAAGTGCAGGAAATTAGGTGACCCAGGCAGCTACAGACTAGCCTAGTATCCTGCTATGCCAATGGCTAAATATATTTTTTTAAGCATGGGGGATAAATGGGAAATGCATGTTATACTTTGATAATAAGATTTTTAGACAAATAAAGCGATAAAACTGTGTTTATGTCAGGGATTCAGTTCAGAATTTGCTTGGATACTGATAAATACTGGACTGTTACTTGGAAGGGGGATCAAGGCTAGATTGTCTTGAAAAGTGAAATGCAGTTTTGGGGACATGGAATATGCCATCTTATGTTAGTGTCCTACCCTGCTGGCATTATTCTGGAACCCTTTGTTGGCACAGGGCAGCAGAGTGAGATGGATATCCCTGAAGGCTGGGATAGCAGGAACAGGAGCAGGAGGAGAAAAAGTGAGCTGCATGAATTGCCTATGGGATGACATGGCCATGGAAAAAAAAAGGATATATTGAGTCATGGATTTTCAGTAAAGAGAGGACTTTTGCACAAAATGAGCATGAGTCAGACTTGGAGTCCTGTGTGTGGCTCTGACCTCTATACTCAGGCATGATTTTGAATAAAGCAAGTGCCAATAAAGGCTGCCAGTGCTCCCAGAGGAGTGGGAAGGCTGTTGTGCAGGAGAAGCCAGGGAAAGTGTGTTCAGCCCAGACGAAGAAAGAGCTTCTGAAGGGATCCTCATAATGGCAACAGGCTTGAGAAGGAGTGTTCTTACAACCTCAGAGCTGGAAGAGCAGCAATATTAGTTGTATCACTGCTTTCCTTTTAGCACTGATGCTTGCCAGAAGTGCTGAAGCTTTATTAGGGGTGAGGAATCTTACAGGTGATATTTCCTGAAGCATTGAGGTATAAACTGAGCTGAGTAGCTGTAGCAAAGCCCTTTCTATGCCCTTTCTTGGTGAGTGGGAACAGGGGTTGTAGTGGGTCTCAGCCACAAGCTGGCTCTGGGCAGGCTGGAGTTTTGTTGGAGATGAGGTCTTGTCCATATCTCTGCTGTAGTTTTATTGGAAATGAGGTCTTGTCCATATCTCTGCTGTAGTTTTATTGGAAATGAGGTCTTCCCATATCTCTGCTGTGCACACAGTGCTGTGGGGCAGGAGACAGCCCACAGTGGACTGCATTATATCCAACTCCTGACTCCTCATCCCCACTTGAAAACCCAGCCATGTGACTGTTCCTCAGTCAGCTGGAGTGCCTGAGGATCCATATCTTCATGGATACCTGACATTTGGTTTCCAAGGCTGAAATACAGGATTTGGCTCCTGACAAAGTTTCCTCTCATCTCATATGTGTGTCACAGGTATGGCCAAACTTCTTGGAGAGAGAGGTGCAGATAATGCATTTCTCATCAAAGCCTTGAAGCTGGACTAATTGGATTCATAGTTGTAAACATTTCCAATGCCAGGAGACTCTTTTTCTTTAGGCTTCAAGCAGTGTTTGAAATTGGTATGTTTTCATGGCCTCTTAAAGCCTGGTTGAGATTCATTTGCAAGGGGAATTCAAAGGAAGTAAAACTTTGTAGCTGGTACTGGTGATTCCCTTGAGTGTCTCTGGGGAAGCAGTTCAGGCCTACAAACAATGTGGATGTGAAGAGGATGGACTAATTCAGGATTGCCAGGAGCAGGGGCTTTAGAGACCAACTTGGAAAATTCTCCTGAGGTGATGTTGCTTTTTGGGTTGAGGCAATGAACCTGAAGCACACTGCATGCTGGAGATGGAGCTATGGGTCCTGGCCTGTCTGAGCAGGACTTCAGTGCTGTTCTGTGAGCATTTTACTGTGCACGTCCAGAGTTCCTTTCCATCTCTGATGTTCAGTTGTGCTTGATCTCAGATCTTTTCTCTATATTTATTTGCAGTGGTATCCAGGACAGCACTCTGAGGTTTTTGGGATGGGGAGATTTCCATATAAGTGAAAAGAACAGTCAAAATTTTGCTATATGTCACTAGGAGGGGTGAATATGTAACCCTGGAGACATTTCCAAGACAAGGACAAAGGATGAAGTCTGTGCAAGTGCTGGCAGAACAGACCTCTCTCCAGAGGCAGTTTGTGCCTTGTGGAGTCACTGGCCTCCCACAGCTGTGCAGAAATAGCCCTTTGCATACAGCAGGAGGCAGAGCCAGCCCTCAGCAAAAGGGCAGCCTGGGCTCTGCAGCCCTGAGTGCACAACAGTGTGTATCAGTTTAGTCTGGGGACATTAGCAGAAAAACACCCAGAGCCCATGGCTAATGCAGCAGTTTCATATGCAGCAGGAAAACTTTGCAGTTTCAGCAGGCATTGCTTCTAAGCATCCTCCACCCTCTCTGGATGCCTCTGCTTGCCGGATTTTCTGTGTGGGCTTTGCCACCTGCCATGTGTCTTCCTGGCTGCCCAGTATTGTGCCTGGCTGTGCCAGTGCCAGTCAGCAGGGATCTGTGGCATCAGTAGCAGCTCCATGACAAAGTACCTTGGAGGAGGAATTGTCAGCAGCAGCTAGAGGCACGTAACAGCCTGCGCCACGTGGAGAGCCGCAGGTACCATCTGCTCTGCCAAAAGACACATGCTCGTGCTCCTTGTCATTCAAAGTGGGAAAGAGGGTGAGATGCAGAGCTTAAAAACATTGGAAGGGAAAAGATGTGAGAGAAAAACATTTGGGAAAGATTACCATATTCATGCCTCTGGCCTCGTTAGCTGCTTTTATGTCTTTAGGTAGTAAGTCCTCTGCAGGTGGGAATTTTCTCTTCTTGTAAGTTTGCCTGGTAGCATAATGAGACCCCAATCTCTGTGGGGAATCCTAGATACATCCACAGCTGGTAAAGTCATATGTGTC